GCAGTGAAGCCTTAGCACTGAGCTCTATGAGATTTTCGAGACTAGAGTGAAGATCATAGAGGTTAAATACGAATTTCTGGAATGTCATTCGTTATTATAAAAGTTCCAAGAATCCATGGGACTCCGGAATTTCCGGAATCCCACGGGAATCCCGGGAATCTTGGGAATCCGGAATCCGCCGTTTCCCCCTTGGTATATATTCTTCTTTCTGTTCTCATATTTTTTTACTCATAATAAATGTATCACTTAACAAATTAGGTGATAGCTTCATTTTTCTCTCTCTCTCTCTCTCTGGTAAGTATCAAGGAAGACGATATATATGTTCACACGTGTAGTACTTCATTAACGTTTTCTGTTGGTAGGCAACATTGTACATGTCCTTCTTCTGTTTTATGTTTGCCTATTCTCTCATGATATCTCAATGTTAATATTCTTCATCATCAACTACTGTCGGACGCGTAATGTGCACTCTAGTTTATTGTGCGTTCAGCTGCACACCTGTTTGGGGTGGGGGAGGGTGATGTGATCCATCACAAAACATCACTGTTTCAAGCAGGTAGCCATCAATAGGATATCATCTATATTCTGTCTGTTCGGTGATATATATACCTCTATCTAAGAAGGAAAAAGCTGTTCAGTTGATAATAATGCACAAAGACACGAAAGGTAGAGAAAACCGTTACAATAGACATACCACAAACAAGATAATCGTTTATCTGCTTCTCGAATAACACCTGTCTTTATCACCTTCGACTTTCATAACATTTTTTTCCTTTCAATTCATCGCAATCAATGCGAAAGTGGTAAACAGAAACAAAAAAAATAATTTTGTTGAGTTTATTTCATATGGCAGTTTTTTTCTGCGTCACTACAACAGTCAAGAAATGATTTTTGCTAAAATGCCATGCCGACGACTGAGATAGATAGAATGAAAAAAACCTGTAAAGCACATGCAAGTGTCGTACCATAGCAACAACCGGCATGAAACAGTCGCTCACTGGAATTTCATTTTTCTTACACTTTCTCGTATTACGACATACTATAGTTGAAATAAATTTCATTAATGTAAGGATAAAATTATTTTTACTCGAATTCTATTTCGATAGTGATCTTCTCGTTGCAGTATTCAAGTAGGAATGTGGTAGCCAACAAAAGTCACAATCCGTCGCAACAGTAAACGAACGGGAGAACAATGCGGAAATGAAGTTAAACAAATTGGCGAATCGAATTTGGTGAAAACTGTCACATCTCCGCGTTCAGCAACTCCAGATACTTCAATCGGCAATCAAGACCAGCTACAGATGCTATCCAAAAAGAATACATTGCCCCCTATTCCATCGAGCAAGTCTCAACTGAGCGATGACAACAGCCGACCTGATATTGATGTTGCTGAGGACAAATATTTGCCACTCAAATTGTTCGATAGTAAAAAGCAACCGCTTGATGAGCTTAACCCAGAATCAATGACGTATATATAGATGCGACGCATGAAAGAAATTTTTCTACATATGAACGATGGTAGAAATAACAACGACGAGATTGACCCATTCGTTGAATTCGACATGAAACTCGCTAAAGCAGATATCACTAAAACATGCGATCGTTATATAGAAAATGAACGAATTACTCTGACGAAACAGGTACGAATATTTTAAAATTCAAAACTATCGCAATATTGCTGGATCAATCTTCTTGAAGTTCACCAGAACGATAAATTCTATTGACACTGATGTGAGACTGAGAAAATCCCTGCCAGATCGTAAAATTTCGAACATTTTGAAAGTTCTCTAGAACAACGATTACATTTTTCGTGTTCCTACTATTTTTTATCGATGTCTGATCGGCATCGACCGTATTTTATTGATATCAGTAACGGCGAATCACCAAAGCGGACGACAGTGGCGGATCTACCAGTTAAGCTACCCGGCGATCGCCACCCCGCTTAAGAAAACATTTTCGGTTTTCTCCACCAGAAATGAAACAGAAAACAGTCGTTCTGCCTCAAATAGACTTGAAAATCCGTTTTTGGCCAGGAGCGCCGCTCCCTAACATATTTTCTGGATCCAGCACTGGCAGGAGATTCTTGTTCCTGGATCGTAACAAGAACCTACCGAGAAAGAGAGACGGGGTAGTCATATCTGTCAGAATATACACTGTAGTACATATGAATTATTAAGATGATAACTCCAAAATAATCGTATTCGGTCAACATCTTTAGGAGCCACCTCTCTCCCTTGAAAGATCCAGTCCAATGGGAAATATTGTCATAAAAACATCACTGTGAATAAATCACACGTGTCAGTCTGAAGTCAAGACTTCTTGTCCTCCCCACCTTTAAAACTGAGCGTTTAATTCAGAAAAAGAGCTTTATTGAAGGAGTTTATTGAGAAGACTCAAACAGGACAGACATAGAATTCGATGTTCTAAACTCAAAAGTATATGCCAAAGTTAATCAAGAGAAAAGATGATGCACCCAATAACTTACTGAATGATTATATTATTATATATAGAAAACTCATATAGTAATTGAGTCAATGAGAGAAAGAGTAAAAGTCCAATTGCCACAACCAACGCCATGTGTTTATTGTATACGTATCTGATCATAAAAATATTCTTTTACAGTGCAAGGGATGTTAAATAGCTAAGTGGATCAAAAAATGAGTAGAAACTTAATTCCAATACTGTCAAACTTGAATTCAGTTAAAAATAGACAATTGAAATTTTCAATTTTCAATTGAATTCACGTTTCAAAAATACCGAAAAGATCAAGTGACCAATCGACAAGGTATTTTCCTATGGAGATACTTGATTCAATTTCAAGAATGCCTTTAACGTCAAATAACCAATAAACAAGCATCACAGTTATACGTAGCTTTTTTCATAGTATTCAGAAGCCATTCTGCTGAGAAAAGTCGACGGTACTAATGCGACGGTCATCACTGTAGGTTCTGTCTCTGTTTAACAGCTTCAACGTTAATCTCACGGTTGGATTTCTAGTCTTGCTTCTTGAAAATATTTATTTGATTCTCATGAGTGTCTAAATAATTCAATGAAAAAGATTTTCGATGCACGTATTTCAGTATGGAAAGTACTCTCAAAGACTATACGTAAGTCTATTTATCAACTGCGTTTGAGTCAAGTGAACTAGGGTATGTCTTAGGTTATAACTTTTAAGAATGTAACAAGTTTTGGTATATGATCACATGCATCTATAAACAAAACGCGGTTAGGAATGTTTACAGATGAACGATGTGATCACTTTCTGATACTATTATATTGATTGAATCTTGATCTAGTACCTATTTCCGACTCGCATTTTGTAACAAGAGAGAAAAAAATGAAAACATGTTAGAATCAATTCTCATTTTGTGCAAATTTACTTCATCATGACCTTATTTGGTAATTATATCGAAAACGACTAACTGCGTCCAGATATGACAAATTTCGGAAAAACTTTATTCTCATCTGTTTTTCACCTGAAAGTAGAATAACATACCAAGATTCTCTCTCGAAACAGGGATCAGACAAAGAATTTTCATTTCAGAGCGCAGAACATTATAAAATATAATTCAATAAAGCAATATGCTGAGGTTCTACATTTTTGCTCAATTTTCGGCATATTTTTTTCAAAAACATGGTATTGTACTCGATCACTGATGTGCTCTTATTATACGTACTCAAAAAAGATGTCAGATATAAAAATCCAGAGGATGCAGTGTATGGCAAGTCAATATGAGCTTGACTAGAAAATGCTTTCGGCTTAATGAGGGAACGTCACTAACTTATTAAATCTAGAATGGTTGAGATGTTGAATGACTGTGCAATCCATTGTCAATAGTAATAGATCTTATTTTGTAGAGCGAAAATCCGGTGACAACGAAAAAATCGACAGAATTGGGCAACGATGAAAAGCCGAAACAGATCGACTTAGCAAAAAAGCAAGAATGGGACATGAAGAAACTCTATGTAGAAGTTTTTAAAATGTCCTATAAACTCAATCGGTTGAAAACACAAGCTGAACAGGAAATCGGTCGATTCGATCCAAGACGTTGTCTTGTTCTATATTGACCTTGGATTCACCAAATGTATTTAGGATGAGCTCATACCGTCAAAAACTGGCGATGATCAACCCAATTTTGGAAATGCGATTTGGTGGTATTCATGCGACAGAGCAAGCATTTATTATCAGATTAATTCAATAGTGCGACTTGAAAATTTCGAATTACTCATGTCATATCGTTATTATCTAAGTGATCTTTGTCGAATGATTGAGTTTATGTATCAGAAGAAGAAAAAAGAGGAAGGTGATATTGCGCATACCTTTTACCGAGCCGATAATATTAGTCCCGAACAATTAGAAATGATGGGGAAAAAACAGAAAAGTCAGTTTATAACATTGCTTGGCTTCGTTTCAACGACATCTGACATTGATATAGCCAAGGGCTACGCTCAGAAGCAAAGAGTTTATGCAAACAACGAAAGGGTTTTGTTTGTAATCAGTGTCAAACCTCACGTGCCGTGCACAGCATTTGCTTATATAGATCGTATATCATTTCATCCAGAAGAGAAAGAAGTACTTTTCAGCATGGGATCTTCATTTATGGTCGAGTATATTTTGAAACCAGCTCAAGGCGAAAATTACCATATAATACATTTGACAGCATGTGAGATTGACAAGTCTCTCGCCGACAACATACGGATTAAGGTGGCGAACTGTTCACCATCAGGTCGTGCCATCCTACTTGCTCGTTATCTCGTGGAATTAGGTGAGTATCGAGCGGCGCGTAAATATCTCGTATCACTTTTAAGCGAAGCGCGTGAGAATGGCGTAATCGCCAATGATATCAGTCTTGCCGGGGTCTACAGCTGTTTAGGTTTGACTTACGCTCGGCAAGGCTTTCATGGCGATGCACTTAGAGCATTTAAACAAACACTCAATGCACAAGCACGTCTCGAATACTCAAACAATAATGCACTGTCTGAAATTCATAACAATATTGGTTTAGCCTATGTTGGCTTGGGTTACATGGATGAAGCTGAAGCTACATTTGATAAAGCGGTACGCATGCAATTGTGTGAACCCAAATCGAACCAACAATTTCTTGCTTCCATCTACAGTAATATTGGCTATGTTCATCATAAACAAAAAAGATACGGTGAAGCCGAAAAAGCTTATAAGAATGCTGAAAAATTTTTCAAACAAAATACAAACAGAATTACTCACGATGCATTGGAATTATCTTTGATGAAGGCTGAGTTTCTGACGAACTATGGTAGGTTATTAAGCGTTCATAAAAGTACCACAAGCAATCGTCATCCAGAGGATTTCTATAATGAAGCACTCAAACTTTACAAAAGTATTCTGTCGGATGGTGATCCAAAATTGATGCAAACTTACATTAACATAATGCTTGCATTTGCTCAAAACAAATCTTACCATGAAGTTACAAAATGTTTCAAAGATCTAACAGTGCAAAAGTTAATCGAGAAACAAGAAGCCAATATGTTCGAATTAAACAGCTCCATTACACAGGCAAGTCTTAGCTCGTTATATGAACTTGTCGGGGCGTGTTAGGCATCAGATGGCGACTTCAACGCAGCCATTGAAGTATGGAAAGATGCTTATGTATTTGAGCGAAAAGCACGACTAGAACGCGCATTGCTGGTTACTACAGATGGAAATTCATCGATACTGACAACCGAACATAATCGTTCTATTCATGAATGGTATCACAAAGCAACACATCACTATGGATCCTTATCGAGGTAAAAATCTTACTTTTACAATTTGGTTCTATTTTGAGTGCTTTTGTAGTAATCCAAATGGTGAAAAGTGCGAAGAAAAGAATCAGTTTTCTACCAACATATGTTTAGGATTTCTCTATGCTAAATTGCATAATCACAATAGTGCTATTGAATGTTCAGCTAAAGCGCTAGCAGTAAATCTTGAATCCGATGAAAAAATGATATTTATTAGTTCTCTTCGCTTGGCCGATATTTTCAAACGACGGCAACGCTATGATATAGTTATTACTAATTTTAATCGAGCTTTAGAATCTATTCAATTAGGCTCGGATGAAGAAGATCCAGTGCTTTACGTTGAAGTGAAACTAGCGCGAATTGATTGTCACAAAGACAACCAAGCTATTGATACACTGCGAGAGCTCTATCGATCATTGCAATTGTATGGCTCGGACACGAAGTACATTTGTTTAAAGACAATTGTTCTCGATACATTGGCTCGATATTCTTTAATGCAGCGAGAATACGAAAACTTCAATTATTCTATAGAGCAATCCATTGCACTCAAACACGGCAGTTTGTCACAGTATCATCCGAGTTTAGCTATCGATTTTATATTTCAAGCTGAATTTCATGTCCAAAAGGCAGAAACATTGCATGGTGAAACTGCTGACATAGGAGACATTCGTCGATCTTATTATCGTGAGGCCTTAACATCGTATGAACGCGCATTATAAGTGTATATTTTAAATTTATCAAATAATAATTTGGAAATGAAAAAGATTTATTATGCTATGGGCGATATAATGTGTGACATGGATGAATTGTCGAATGCCATGGAAAAATATAACGTAGCCGAGACAAATAATTATTTAGATGAGAACGAAAATAATGCACAGATACTAGTAGAAGAAGATGCAGAAGAGCCGGTAGAAATTTGGATAGCTCGAGCAAGTATGCATCGGCATTTAGCCGAATATCGGGCAAGGAAAAAGGATTACAAAGAAGCGATTGTCGAAATGACGCAGAGCATGAACCTATATAGCAAACAACTACCATCATCATTCTTTGATACTGATAACAAGCAGACGGTTTTACATGATGTGTTAGTTGTTACCGATAGTCTTCGCCATCTTGCCCAATGTTAAGCACATCTAGGTGACATATTGGGCATTGCACAAAATGAAGACGATGGCTATTTTACTGCAGTTAATATTTACACAAAACTTGTATCAAATGATAAGTCAGTGAAAAAAGATGAAGCTGTGCTTTATGAAAAGATAAGCGTTTATTATGAAAATCTCGGTGATCATTTTGAAGCGCTTACATCTTTGCGAAAGGCTGTCGATTTAGGTAATACATCGATTATCAATTTGTATGCACTACGGCGTTTGAATAACTTTTGTCATAAATTTAATGAAGCTGAGCAAATCTTTCAAGCATTATTAGCTCATTCATCCATTCACAAAGATAAACATCTCAAACAGATCATACAAGACAAGCTTAATGCAGTAAAAATACTGAAGAGCAATCAGAATTTGCACTCAAAAAGCTCACATTCAAGTGATGATGATAAGCACCATAGTAGCATCATTAACGGTGCAAATCAATTACACGAAGATACACATTCAAATTCTAGTCAACAAGATGGTAATGACCGGAATGCAAGCGTCGCTGATACAGGTTAGTCCGAGTTCATTATTGAAGTAAAATCTATAATGTTTTCGTACAGGTAATGATCCTTTCAATTATCGATCGATGGCAGTCGCTTATCTCGTGCTTCAGGACTTTGAGATGGCGATGATATTCTATCAGAAAGATATCAAACAACGCAGTAAGAAGATATCGGAGCCTGATATGTTCAAGGTAGAATTAGAAAAAATAGATCAGGCTTCATACAGTATTAGTCATCAGGATATACTACCTGTATTACCAAAATTATTTCACTCATTAGTCGATAAATTTCAAAACATAGTGAAACGAAAAGATTCAGATATGTTGTTATTGGCCGATTCATTTTTTCAATGTGCTATTATTCATAGTCGATTATCATCTTATATCAAGGCTATCAAAGCCTATATAACATCGTTTGGTTTCTATGCTTCAGAATTAAATACCACGAATGATGAGTTAAAAACTACTTTAATTGATATCATGACAAATCTGTTGAATGCTTTCGTACAGTGTAAGCTCAAGCCGACGCAAATTGTCGATATTTACATTCAATTGTCACTACCGAACGAGGCTAATCAAATGCGCTTGAAGCTGATCACTATGTATCGTGGCAATGAATTGGACAATATAGACGGTGTACACGGCATTAGTACTGGGTGATTCCGCCAGCTTCCTCCAGCGATTTACGGTGACCATCTCAGAATTTGATGAAACTTGGAAGGTTTGTAGAGAATTTTACGCTGATCANAAGTATTTTTACGATAACTCCGCTATTTCCCAGTCAAGGTGACGACTTTTTTATACCAAAATGATCAGCGTAAAATTCTCTACAAACCTTCCAAGTTTCATCAAATTCTGAGATGGTCACTGTTAAAACTGGAGGAAGCTGGCGGAATCACCCTACTGCAAATCATGAATCTCATATAAGTGCTCTTCAATACTATAATGAACTGTTGAAGAATACGGATGACAAGAACTTGAAAGGTGTCTGCTATTATAGTATTTTACGTTTCTACAAACATCATTTACATCCCGATAAGTTTGGTAAAGATATTGTTGATAGTCTGAAATCATGTTTGTCAACGTTTAATGTCTTGGACCGACATCTATTATCACAATTGGCCATCGATTTCTTACAGGAATATGGTAAAAGCAGTGGAGATCATGTAGTTAGGGACAGCTGGCAAATATCTGCCAAGGGTTGTCTCAATACTGAACAGATTGATGGCAAAGAGTCATATATTGGTCTCTCTCTTCTCAACATTGGTAATCTGTCAGCTGCTGAAGCTTATTGGCGCTCGATTATCAAACAAATAGAGGATACTTTGTCGAATCGAGTAGTTGAGCTTGTACATGATTCTGACACGACGCTTCAAGAAATTCTCCATGCTATGGGACAGTTTGAACACGACAACATTTTATTATGCAGTCATCTGACTACAGTCTACGAGAAATTAGCTGACTATTACATGGAAACTGCTTTTAACGGACGAAATATAGACAAATATTTGTTGGCGAAAGCAGACGATATGTACACAAGAGCAATTCATCTATTAGAAGGATGCACTAACGATATCAGTCGTATTCAGAACATCAAGGCAAAGCAACAAAAATCACAGGAAGTAGCATAAAATACTTAGATGCAATGTTGTTAATTATTGGTTATAGATTTGGCAGCATCAAATAATTGAGAATTTTTCATATTAAATCACAGCGAACCTTGCGTTTATTTTTGATTTTGCTTTTATATTGATTGATTGCTATTTTTGAATGAAAAAAGCAAATTCCAGTGACGCGGGACTACCGTGACTTCTTTTTTCTGGATTCATCTTTTCTACGAGACTTATTTATTTGCTCAGATAATATTTTAGCATATCCATAATTCGCTTCAACAACATTTATTATAACAGAAAAAATAGAATAAATGCTAGCAATCTTCCCTAGTTGAACATCTTGTAAGTAAGATCTGGGAATCTTGGGATCGGTAAGTAAGATCTTATTAAGATCTTAAAAAGATAATTTGTATGTACATATCTTGGTTGTATCAGATAAATCTGTACTTAAGATCTTGGCAAGATCATGGAAAAAATATCATGTACTATTATCTTCCGATAAGATCTTGAGCGAAACAGAAAGCGACATCATTAGTGTATTTACATGCTCACTAGTCATTCACCGTTTTTTAAATGCATACACAGCTGTATATAAACAGCACCCATGTAAACACGAAACGCAAAAGGGACACGTTGAAACGCACAAAACGATTTTATGCCGCGTTCAAACGCGTTTTTCAGTATGAAACGCATTGAGACGTAGTTAGAAAAATTTTAAAACGCATCTGAACGCAGATTTTGAACACAACACGTTCAAAAGTGATTTGAAAACAATATTAATCGCGTCTCATCGCGTTTGATATTGAAATCGCGTTTTACGCAGTTAATAAAATTCGACTGAACGCGTTCTAACGTGGTGTAATATGAGACGCATTTGAGCGCGTTTTTGAAAAAATATGAAGCGCGTCTGAACGCACTTTTTTTAAAAATCGCGTTGACATGCGACTTACGGCATCAGATTCTTTTAAGACTTGCAATATAAGTGAACTAGATCAAGTTAAATTAGTCAAGAAAATTTGTTTTTAAGAGTCCCTGTAAGCGAAAGATGCTTGTATCATTTTACCTTTATCTAAATTTAAGAAAAGAACATATGATAAATATTCAGACGAAAAATATTCATAGCACGTTCGATAGTAATGAGACAAGAAAATTTATCAAGTTGCTGTCTATTCTATTTGTATAGCATTTGGTATTTGTACCTTTTATACGTTATAATATTATTATTTTACATACTCAGTTTTGGTGGTTCCAAGATAAAAGATTGAATCATATTAATGAAACTTATTTAAGATTGCTAATATGACGATTAGATTTTTGGAAAATAAATATTAGATTTTTCTTAGCTGAACTTTGCTATCAAAGGTCTTTATCCTTTTATGTATTATTTTGGCAACTTCAAATGATCAATATTAAGTCGTTTCGTGAATAAATCTAAATTCTGTTTTTCAATTGATATCAGTCATTATTGAAAGTTCTCATTTCAGTTACATTCTTGGTTATATTAAGAAAAAAAAAAGAGAATCTATTTAATAAAATAAAGTAAACTGATATTAAACGTCGAATTCTGATAGTGCCGCCGGTGATTTTATGTAAAAAAAACGTTGTTGTGCATTCTCTTTTAAATGGAAAAGGTTGTCAAATTAAGTGTTTGAAATTTTAAAAAATATTGAATAAAAATTGGTTTTGAGAAAATATTTTTTCTGACAAATACGTGTATTGATAATTGATAATTTTGTAAAAATTATATTTTTTCTATATTTCTATCATTTCTAAATTTTGTCGTTTATATGAGTTTATAATCCTTGTAGACATAGTATGTCATCCGACAACGATTGTAGTCATATATGGCTTCATGGTACGTATACTTGTCTCTTAATCATTGGTTCACATGTTCTAATCTCATTTCTATCGTTTCAGATTCATCAATATGTCGATATGCAAACAGTTCGTTGACCTATAGTGAGGTGAAGATCATGCGATAGAGGATATCGATGGTGACTCAGATCAAACCTGAGACGAACTGAAATATTTTTTTTTCATTTTTCATAAATTCTATGGAACGCGTCTAGACGCAGTTCTCTTTGCAAACGCGTCCCCTGTGAAACATTCCAAGCGTTGCGACGCGTTTTTATTTCGAAACGCGTTTATTCCCGATTTTGCGAATAACCGCGTTTGAATGAGGTTTTACCTGCAGCCGCGTCTAAACGCTTCGTTTGTTTCACTGGAGACGCATTTAGACGCGTTCTCTTTATGCGTTTCGCACGCAAATGAAACGCGTTTCAGACGCGTTTCGAGGCAAAAAATATTTACATGGGCATGGTTGAACATACGAAATACAAATTTACAAAATTATTTTTTCTCAACTATTTCTCGATTATTCGAGAGAATGCTGATCTCGATCGATGATCGAGAGAGGACTTCCCTAATTGGTCCGACGGATATCGTACCAATTTATAGCCAGTCAGATGCCAACATCTGACTTGCTGGAATTCGGAAGAGGAATAATTAAAATGAAAATAAATTGAAAAAATATTAAAGAATGCAGCAGGTATTATTTTAGTGTGCATCTAAGATTTGATGGATTCTTATGTAAGATCTGTAATTAGATCTTGGGTACAAGATAATACACTTATCTTGTACCTGAATTTCCAAGATCTGTTAACATATCTGTACCTTGTATCTTGACCAAAATCTTGCTTACAAGATGTTTGTCTAGGGTTGAATAACCAACGCAACAATAATTTGATAATGATCATGTAGAATGAAAACTCCATGGTGTCTGTTCATAATCAATTTCTCTCAGTATAATGTACTAAAGAAAACATGGGACAAAATGCAGTCAAACTATTATGATATTGTTAGCAGCTACGATTATTATCGTTCATGATTTCAACTTTTTTACAGCTCATTCATTCAATATTAATTTCGACATTGATATGGAACAAAACTTAATGTAACAAGACAACAATTCTGTTCAGTCTAATGTAAGTGTAAACGTCAAAGTAAACTGCGATATTGTTCAACATTGGCGTACTGAAATCAATTTTTGTTGATATCAATGATCATCGTTGTCTGAATTCTGATGCTGATCGGATGATATTCCTTCGCCCAAGAGTTGCAATATCTAAGTTTTGTTCGAATGAGAAAGAATTATAGGATATGTACTTAATAATTCATTTTAAATGATTCCTTTCTTTTTACCCATCGCTAATAACATTCGCATGGAGAAAGAAAGAAAGAAAGAATAAAGAATACTCTTGCCGTGCGGCTACCTTTCAGTATAGGGTGTTGTCCGGAGACAGTTTCAAGAGCCCGATATTTTTCCTACAACTATTACTAGCTGCAGCTCTGGACAGAAGGCCGGCCTGACTCAGAGATCCTTCCGCTTAATTACTTAAGCTTTCCATGCATACTGACTAACCACATACTATCCATGAGGATATTTTTTATGTATGTCACATGTAATCAGCGTGCGATCGGATGGGTGATCCGAGACAAAGCAGCCGTTAGTAACTTGTCCAAGGTTATTCTATGGATGATGGCGCCGAGGTTTGAACACACTATCTTGTGGATATGTGCCGAACATCTTAACCATTCAGCCATAGCGGCATTCGCATGGAATATGGCAATGAGCCGAATGTTAATGTTTCTACTGTTCGGCTGAGAGCGACATCAATTTTGTAAACATTTGCTGTGAAAGAGCCTAGCGTGGGATCGAAATGATTCATATCGCCAGTTGAGGTGCCAATACGAAGATCTTCACTCAAATACGATAGCGTTGCACCGATATCAAAGAATATTCTTTTATCTTCTTGTATGCTATTCAAAGTTATAATCGGTATACCCATAACTGTGACTACAATAGACAATTTTGAGTGCGATATCCGTGTGCAAGATAGGCATGTTAGAAACAATGATTTGATTTTGAGTAAATTTAATCTAGAAATGCTGAACAATGTCCATACTAAATAATCCAGATGAGAATGGAGAACCACTATCTATGATACAGTCGAATTCGTTCATATGAGCAACGATATGATCACTAAGAAATTTGACAGTACATGTAGCCATTGTGCGCTGCTAAATCGTTTGCTAAAATTTTGCTTGCGTCAATCTGGTGAAATTTGAATGTTTTTATCTAAAAATAGTCAGATGATCAACATAATAACGAACGGAGGAGCAATTTCATGTGTTTTAGCTAAAAGTAACTAGATTCTGTTTAGTATTATGAATAAAAGAATGAATTCTTTTATACTCATTGGCATAGGCGGCGGAGCCCTTAGGCTAGGGGAGACTCAGTTATTTGAAAAAAAATCCTGATTTCATCGTAATTCTATATCTGACAAGTGGAAACGGTTAGAAAAGCTATAATATTTTTCTCCAAAGTAATGTTCAGCCTGAGGATGTGTAAGTTGCATGTTTTTGAAATATTTTCACTTATTAATGCTAGCACCTCCTCTATGAAGATGAAGGAGACTATGATCAGCAATGACACAATAATACTTTAATAATGTCCTTGTTCCTCATATTCATAAAGAAAAATTAGATCGGTTAGACTTAAACAGCATTTTTTCTGATTTTATTGCAAAAAATCAGGGTAGAAAAGTCTTTTTTGGGAATGAATAATAGCTTTTGTACTTACCACTTTTTTATTTGCTTTAGTCAAGGTTTCAAAATTTTGTATGCTTATGTTGATAATGAAATAAAAATCTTGATAGCGTAGTAGAATTCTCGATTGCTCTGAAGCTGTGCAAATGGGTCAATGAAGAAAATGTTTTGAATGAAAATTTAAAACAAGAAATTTAAAACTCTGCTTTCTCCCTCTGATGCTGTTTTTCGGTCGTTGTTTTCAAAAACAAATTTGAGTCTCCTCTAAATTAGAAACGTTCCGCCGCTTATGCTCATTGGCCTGCTCCAGATAAAGTATACGAAATCCGAATCCACTCCCTACTTCATTGTATACAATACGAAGACATGTAATATACCAGAACACGACGATTTATGGTAATTTCTGAATATTTTTGTTCGACTTGAGTAATTATGAAAATATATACTATTTTACTTTGAAAAGCAAACGTGCAAATGCAAAGCATCTCGAATTGAAGAGAAGCATAAAAGAAAAAAAATTTTGAATATATAGTGTTACTCAATGAAAATTGTTTTCTGCCTTAGTCAAACATCTTGTAAGTAAGATCTTAGTCAAGATCTTTGGTACAGACAAGTGAACAGATCTTGAAAAGGAGGGGGAACACTTTGTACACAAAACGGTCTTGAATGAAAATCAGTTCAAAAATCATTTCTAACTACCATTTCACACTGTACTGTGTGTGAGTACACGATTCTGAGCTTTTACAGACCATTTTCAAAAGGTTTTAGTCTCCGTCTACAAACAGTTGGTCTCTACAATAGAATATACGCTGTGAGACTCCCGATAATGACTTTATCCTCCGTGTATCACGTAGGCTAAATTATAATATATCTTTGGGGAAAAGATATCTGCCTTCAGGTAATGAGAGTTCACTTTGAAAACGGCTTACCCNGTTCTGTGCAGCAAAAAAAGGTTCCGTGGAAAAATACAAAACCTTGAAGGTTCTGTACAAAACCATTAATCGTTGGTGCGTAACCCTAATGGTTCCGTACTGAACCCAATCGTTTTGTACAGAACCTTCAAGGTTTTGTATTTTTCCACGGAACCTTTTTTTGCTGCACAGAACCGAAAAAAAGGTTCTGTAAGAGATGGTTCTGGACTTGGGTAAAACGCAGAACCTTCAAAAGGTTCTGTCCAAATTTTTATCCTTTTTTTGGGACTTTGGACACATTTGGAGCATTTTGAAAATCTGCAGAACCTTTTCGGAGGGTTCTGTAAACCTCCTTTATTTTTTTCAGAGTAGTGAACTAGATACCACCGTGATTTTACCAGAGGAAAAATAGGCGATTGGGTGCTTTAAAATGTCCTGAGGTGAGAAGGTATCTAGGGTTCCTCTGTGGGATTATAAAAACTTGGAGAGATTTGGTTATGTTTGCGCAGCGTTGGTGAAGCTATCGGATTGTAACCAAATGAATATTGTAAGGATTTTTTATATATATGCTGCTTCAGAAACTGGGTGGGTGGCTTGTCAGAGAAAGGTTTTCTGACTAGGGTGCTCTAGTTTAACAGCGGTGTTGTGATGAGAGCGTAAGAAACCTTTTTTATGAGGGTGTCTGCGGTAATTTAGAAGGAGAAATGAAAGTCGGATAACAAAGGAATGATTAATGTGGTCAGTTAAATGTGGTGGAGGAGAAGATATTTGAATGTGAAGGAGTACGCGGAGCAGATATCTGAGAGAACGCGTGAAATACATGCACTGATGTTATTTCAGAGAGAGGGGAAAAGAAAAATGAAACGAAGAATTTCTAGGAGAGACTTAGAGAGAATATATATCAGATGGAGAATTATTTTTAGAAAAGATATTGGACAGGGAGAGAGACTCAGAGAGTTTCTTTTAGTGATAGAGAATGTAGAGAGAGGCTATAAGTTGTATGCGTTTCATTGGATATTCTTTCATTTCACATAAGCTGAATTCGAAGAAATTTTGTGCATGCACGTGTTGTGGTGATCGCCTTACTGCGAGCTGTCGACGTTCTCTGAAGGAGAAATGTATTCGACTTTTTGTTGCTGCACGTTTATATCCAACTTCTCTGCCCACTGATGGCTACATTTGTACAAAGCGCCGTTTTATGTTTAGTCAATGGACAGTTCTACCAGAATTCTGCGATGTGCTGACCGCCGTCACTGACAACATCAGTGACGAAAGTGAAGAGGTAGAATGGTGTATTAATGAAGATAATGACACTGATCAGCTGATTGATGACACATCAAGTGTGACTAATTCGATGGACGACGGACCTATTCGTATTCTAACAGCGAATGTATCATCCAGTGATAGCGAATCGATCTATGATTCAACTGTCACTAGTGATTAAGTAGACGATGAAGAAATTACTTCGAATGAAAGTAGTGAAGCAGTAAGTGCAGCTGAATATATTTTATCATTATTTAGTCTAACATTCTAGATGGATACGATCCTCTCAGATGAAAATATCGATGAAAAAGGTATCGAAGTTCCAATTGAAGTTTCGATCTTTTCAAAAAGGTAGATGCTTAGAATACAGACAATTAAGTACTCGTCGTTTTGTAGCCAATGTTGTGTTCGCAAAAAAACAAATTGTACCTCCAACATCTTTGAAGAGTTCAGCGTTAAGTTCAGCTCGATCTGCTCTGGCGTATCTTTTAATGAAATTCAAACTGGGCTTGAGCGATTCTGTTTTAGCATCTATGGTCGGTGTAGACAGCAAACGCTAAATTAGCCGTATCATATATGAGGCTCGAGCTGCGGTCGCTGAACGCTTCCTACCTCGCTATTTGATTTTAGCTCACTTGGCACGGCAGGATGTTATCGACAAGCATACATTATCAATAGCAAATCGTTTATTGACTGAGGGCCGAGACCCATGTATACTGGTACTCGATGGGACCTATCTATATAGATAGGTAACTTAAGTCACGAGCATTTTCAAACTAACACTTTCTTTTGAAAAATAGAAAAGTCGAAATAATGCAGTTCAACACAAGACATACAGTCTGCAGAAGAAATAGTCATCGATCAAGCCCATGGTTATGGTAACCACAACTGGGTATATAGTCACAATTTTTGGATCATTCTTCTCCGACTTTCATAACAATGACGCTTCTATTCTGAAGTATGCCATGCTCAACAACTATGAGGATATTCTTACTTTGGCCAAGGAAAATGACATCATGATTTTAGACAGAGGCTTCCGTGATTCTTTTGGCGTACTAAAAGCTCTTGGGATCAACACTGCGATGCCTTCGTTTCTCGGTAAAAATCGACGACAATTCGATGCGTACGATGCCAACAGATCACGTTTTGTCACGAAAGTACGCTGAGTGCAGCGGTGTAACCAGGGGGGGAGGCAAATGAGCAATTTCCAATTTCATTTTGAGCCTTGCCCATTGTAATTTTCATGAGTTAATTTTTGCCCATTCAAATTTTACTTTTTCACAATTATTTAGTTTTGAATAAACTAGCTTCTGTCTTTTTTCTTTTGTTTGAACCGCATATGTACCCTGTATTTGTTCTTATAAAGAATTAATAGAAGAAAACAGAACAAAAAAATATGACAAATGCACAATTGTACATACATATCTGTATGTATACTTGTTCTTTTCTTTTATCTTCTCTCAAATGCTGACATGAGAGAAAACGATTGAACTATAATCTATCTCGTCCAGTTTACCGACTTGTCTCTTCTTTCGCGCTACTATATTATAAGAAAAATCTAAAGAAAAAGAACAAATATGCTTATATAAAATTGCGCACTTACACTTATAATTTTGTTGTTCTCCTTTGTCCTGTTTTAAAAGGCTAATACTAAGCCATGCCAACTGGAAAACGACGCAATTCACAGTCGCGGATCCAGAAAATCAGTAAGGAGAGGTGGTACTCCCGGTCAAAAAGTGTTTTTTGAAGCCTATTTGAGGCAATAAGGCTCTTTTCTGTTTCATTCCTGTTGGAAAAAGTCGAAAAAATTTCATGAAGGGTGTGGTCCTCGCCGGTTAGCTGTAATGGTAGATCCGCCAGTGACAATTCGTTATTAAGCTATCACTTTTCTTCCAAATATTGAAATTTGATGTAAAAATATACAGTGGTCGTTTTGATTTTGGTCAGGGTCGCCAACCGTACCCCATTTGAGCCTTTTGTACCTCTGAGGCACACATTGTGTACCCCATCTGCATTTTTCAATGTTACGACTACTATCATTCATATTTTGGTTGAAACTAAGAAAATTACTGTCTCTTTATCCGACATTTACTATTGATAAAGATGTGAAGCGTCAATTATATCGGTTGGCTGGTAATGATCATGTTCATGAAGAATTCAACAATGGCATATGCAACGAGTCCCATGATGAAGATAATCTCATTCACAAGCCGACGACCGAAAATCATGAAAGAGAAGTGGCATTTCGGTCTGCTCAATTTTGGGCTTTCTTCTTGTAAAGTCGAAACCAATGTGTATTGAAATGCACAAAATTATTTCTTATGTGTACTCAATTTCTTGCTCGAATGCATTTGTTGAAGGCGTTTTTAGTCAAAGAAAAAGCGCATGTATAGTTAGTCGCAATTTGACGGTGAATGAAACGATAGTTGCTGAATTGAAAATCAGATTTAATAGTACTATGACATGTGAAGATTTTTTTCTTTGCTCAAACACAACCGCAACCGATAGTGTGCCAAAAGTCAACAAAAGTACAGTTTCGAAAAAAACCGTGCAACAATTAGTGTAAATATAAATCGAGAAGGTTCTCTTTGAGTAAGCATTGTTTTATTATGATTGAATTGAATATATGTATGTCAAAATGAAATTTTATTGTGAACATATTTATTAGAAAATAAAGATTTCAATTTGAAAGCTAGACTATAGTAAAACGAAAAGCTGAGAATGCCATTTCCGGATTGAAAATAGTTTTCGAAATTGATTTCCGTAGCCGATGATCAGTGTGAAAGATGTAAACTGCGTACCTCACGAATGTACCTCATTTACAACTGAGTTGTACCTAACGCGTACCCCATTTGGGACCTGAACAGCTGGCAACCCTGATTTTGGTATTTAAATTTCAAAACCAAATGTTATAAATTGAGACTGAAGATAGAATAAAATATGTCTAACTCAACAAGTCTGAGGCAGGCTTAAAACATGAGATTCTCTTCCTATATATTAGGTTAAAAGAATCTCATGTTTTTTTGGTGTAGTTAAATGAACATCTTTTTTTTGGAGTTTTTTCTACGTTATCAATGCTTTGCTGGGTTAAAAGATTTTGGCCTATCAATAAAAATCTTGCCAATTTTGCCCATGGTTTTTTTTTTTGACTAAGCTAACATATGTTTGCCCAATGGCCCAAAAATCCTGGTTACGCCGCTGGCTCGTTGCTAACGTCTGTAAGAATAAAAATATATAATACTGTCGTAACTATGGACTAATAATAAAAACGACAGATTTTGATGATTAATTAGAGATTAAATCCTAATTATAATGATTTCTAATTAGTGAAACTAGATTTTTATTACTGATGTGAGTAGTGGTGAACATAGGCAATCGACCTGGACCAAAAAAGTTTCTGATTAGTGCATCTAGGTGTTAGTTTTTTTATATTTTATGTCTGTAATGGGGAGGGGTGGAGTGAGGTACAGAGGAGCCGCAAAAGCCTAACAATTCAACTTACACTCCCTATTTTCTTCGAAAATATATGTCAGTTCCACAAAAAAAAGAATTAGAAGCAAGTATACAGCGAACAGAGATTTCTTCACATTTTTTTATTTTTCCTTCATGATTTATGAAGCTCATCGAAGCAATACACGTGGTTATAAAAATAGATCACCATTACTTTATTCAATTTTGTGAAAGTGTAATCGCTTAGTGCGTTATCCAAACAAGTCTGCAAATGTCCTGACTTTTATCAAAAATCCTGATTTTTTTCCAGTTTGTGCCCTGCCTGAATTCGTGATTTTGAGACATAGGCTGCTGCGACCCCTGAAAGTCGTAAAAAGTTCATTAGACAATCAAAAGACTTAGATACGCTAAGATAAAACTGAACATTCTAAATTCATGATGATAGTAGTACTACTGTTGTTTGTCTCAAATGTAAAATAAAAATCTTCTAATAGGACCATTTTACGAATTGAATTATTGAATTTCGATGCAAATATCATCGTATCGATACATTCGAGAAAAGATAAAAGACCGAGACAACTTGTTGAGAGACCATAAATATAGAAAAGTGAATGCACGATTGGAAATATTCATCTCATCAAAACGTAAAACAAATGTTTATTGAGTATATGTGAACGAGTAAAGCTTATGAAAACAATGCTTATTTTATCTATGCGACACGTCTGTACCATCTGCGAGCTTTGACTGAACCACATTCCATTTCCTTAACGACAGAGAGAGAAAGGCTTTGGATGCAGACAGTGGAATTGTATATTGTACTTACGATCATATGTTGACCTTTGTCATCGATATAACGAGTAACAACGGACTTCTTACCATGTTTATCGATTGAAGTATGTATCCATTTGTTACCAACAAAGGTTATGGTTGACTATTAAAACAGAAAAAAAATATATTGAACATAATAATTGACAGAAACAATAATATAAGAAATTACTTTGAGATGGCGTCCATCAGCAGATGTTTCATCGAATTCGACATCAGGTACGAAATCGTAAGACATCGTTTTGATACTGCTTTCAGTCCTCATTGTCCATTTACCATCATTTTCACTGATTATCAAACGTGGTTTGACAGTTTTAGCAGTCATACGCATAACCATACCGACGCCAAGTTCTTTCATGTAATTATCGAAATTTTCATTATCAACCTAAAAACGAACGAAAACGAATAGAATTTTAGTCAATGTACGAGCCTAAAATCATACATAGTCCCAACTGCCTTTGAGTGCATCAACGTCACTGCTATTAGCCATCTGTTGTAATGTATCTGAGTTAAGATTGATGAATAAATTGTGTGCGAGAAAAATCTACAATAAAATATACGTACACTTTTATATCGGTTTTAATAGTAAATATATTTCTTGTGCATGACTCAATTCTACACGAATACTAAAATCGTACGACAAGAACAAAAGAATGACGATGAGAAATAGTTTGAACGTCGCAAAAAGAAATAGAAGCCATGAGCGCACCTTCTTTTATACACTTTGACGTCAGTGCACTTCGCATAGTAATTGAAAAATGGAAGCAGAACAGGAGAAAAAAAGCCATCACCCGTTGCTAAAACGCATATTGTGCACATGTAATTTATGTTGATAGAAGAGAAACGGGGCAACAAAGTAAATAGCTATTTAAACACAATTGGTATAGAGAATCGTGTATGCGTGGAGTCGGAACTGAGATGTTGCCATGGGACCAGTTTTTCAAAAAGTAATTTAATGAAACTTTCTCAAACGTTTTTGCTCTACATAATTATTACATATATTTTTACAAAAAAATATTGAACAAAACAGTAACATGAGTATATAATGCATACCTAAGAATCTCAAATACAAGACAAAAGTTTTTAGTTCTATACTGGCGACATCCTATATTTTTTAAGCGAGTTTCAAACATGTTGTGCTTTATCAAAAAAAAAAGATTTTCTTAGCACATATACATTCTTATATAGACAGAGATTGCTAAGACAACAACAAGATTTTCGTAGATTCTCATTAAAGTTCATAATAAAATATCATTTTCTGTTGTCTTCACAATAGATCTACTAAAGCTTCTACCATTCATTATAACTGTGCGCTATGAGCACGAAAACGGCAGATCTTACTGCTTTCATAAACTACGACAAAATGCATTTTGTTAGTGATTTTTATAATAGTACTTGAATAGTGAATGTTGTCCTTTGGGAACCGTTTGAAGCGGTTGTACAACAAACAGTAGAATGAAATAATTCAAATATTACTATAAATACAATTTGGTCAAGGGGAAGAGAAAACTCACTCAAATCATACTATGACATGTTGCTATCGTGTTTTTCTACTATTGAAACATATTGAATAGTAGAAACAACTACAACGAATGAAAAAAGGTGAACTTTAGTGTCTGTTATAGTTATTTCTTACTATTCAATGAAGTTAGAATTGTTGCCGAGAAACTTCAAAAATATTCAATTATTTAAATGCTACAACTGAATCGAAGATGTTGGCACCAATAGTTTCAATAGCACATATGAATCGAAAAAAATAATCGTCAAGAAAGATTAGTCGTGTGTATATAATTTGCATATATATATATATATATATATATATATATACGTATATATATGTATATGCAGCTGTATGAAAATATACGTGCCGTCGACAATGCAGTAAATGGCTGCATCGTTTCCTACGCGTCTCTTACGTCGTCAGAAACAAGAACACGAGACCCGACTGATTGTCAATTTACTTCATGAAGACGATGATCAATTTAAACGTTCTCATGTAGAAAATGCCCCTCAAGATTCTAAATCAGTAGGATCATCGATTACGACGAATAATGTTCAGTCTCAATCACAAGGTGCATATCAATATGACTATCAAGCGCCATTCACAGCACCTTCACTCAAACCTAATTCCAAATGGTTGATTGTTCGTCGAAATTTACATCAGATTCGATTTATGAGTTACAATAATAATAAAGGAGAGGGTAAACTGCCAGACTTTTACTTAGAATTACAAATGATACGTGAACTAAAACGAGCTTAAAATGAAATACAACGTGTTGGTCAAGAACGCAATTTTCATGCTGTAACACGATTTGTTTTAGTTATTGATGATAATCATACCAAAGCTTATGATACGAGACATGTCAAACCGGGCGATGCTATCACCTATGATCGGTTGGGTGAAAAATCAATGTCATTGCAAAATCTTCTATATTACTTTAGTCAACAAAATGTCGAACATGGTACAGCCTTTTGGAATTTTTTAGACGAAGTTAATCATGTTCTCAACATGAATCGAACGAGAACAGTGTTAGTAAAACGACTTAGAAAGCTGGCTCAAATATTGGCTTTCATTGCCTACGGAATAATCGGTTTTATGTTTTTTCTCTTAATCGCTAGCGTGATTGCAACCGTTGAAAAAATGAGTAATCCAGAGCTAAAATGGATGAGTGATCGTGACGAACAATATTCAACGGATTCTCAATCTTCGATTTGCCTCAAAGAAGCGAGCCGTCGAAAAAAATCTGTTCGTGACACTGTTATTTTAACAAAATATTTTTATTCCCTTATTTATACTCCCATAGAAAACAAAATGATAGAGCTATACTTTGCAGAAATATTTCACATTGAAAAAAAAAGAGAACATCAGCGGAAAGATCGGAATCTAATTTAGAAGAGTACTGATTAGAATATATCTTCAAATCTCAAACTATGAACTTGTAATACATCTTGTTCACATCCATTATACGCTTTCTTCTCGATTAGAGTAAAATTCGAATACACACGATCGATTTGAAGATGCATAGTAATACAATCGTCTCAAACATAGCTTTCTCGTCGTGTATGAATGACAATAAATAACTAATAATAGTACGAGAAATGATCCGTACAAGAATAAGAGCAATCTACATAGAAATGTACGCCAATAGATGGAAAATATCTGATATTGGCTTTTCTGTCAGTGCTAGCCGTATTGATGGCTCAACTTTATTGCGGAATCACTTTATTAGGATGAAACAGCAACCCACAAAGCAAAATGACAAATGATTATCCTATTGGATGCCGAAAGGAACGCTTGACCGTTCTTTTCAGTGCTTTACTATTTCTATTTAATGAGCGTGCCAAAAGCAAAGAATAAGTAAACAAGCGACGGTTCTTACAAAAAATGCTATAAGCATTCGTTTTCTTTTATCCCCGTTAATATATGCGCATAATTTCAAGGCTGATCATTTTAATGCAAATGAAAATTTGCACTACTCGATATTTATTTGCTTAAACAGTATTAATATGTTACTGTATGGAACGAATGCTAAATCACATGTAATATACTAAAGAGAAAAGAACCATATAGAAAAAGCAAATTCTCGTCTTGAAAGTGCGCACATATATATAAACGAAGAAAACTCAGAAAATTGAGCAGATTGATAATTCCAGAGAACGGATACTGTTGGAAGTGGCCGGAATCCACTGAAAAAAATCTGAAAATTTCTGGCAGGAATACAGATAAGATCACATGACAAAGTTCATAAATAATATATTGTTTTCCTTAAAAATTATAAGCTCTCTAGAATCTCAAGTCAACTAATCAATATGAATTAATGAGACAAAAAATAATTTCAGTTCAATGAACGCCGATAAGATTCTCTCATGTTCGAAAGATAACCATAATTAATTTATAGGATTAAAATTTTCAGTGATCTATGGGAAAAACACTGAAAAGCTTTTATTGTTGACAAAACTTTAAATTCAAGGGAAATCTCGTGAAATTATGAGGAAGCAGTGCAAGAATCGCTCGTTATTAAAGGAATGTATCAAGTGACTAAACGTTTTACAGTGTAAATAGTTGCATTTAACATATTCGATATGCTGATTTTGTCTGTCGGATACATAGATCACTTCAAACCTATGAGTCAAGCTTGAACTTAAATATTGTAAACAGTAGCTCAAATTGTTTACTTTTTTGAATCTAAATGCATTTACACTTTCAATTATATCAGAGAGACTATTCATAGCATGTATATTTATCATGTGGATGTATATCTGCGTTCGATCAACTAAACATTTACATAATCGTACACCCACACCTAATCATGATTGTCTTGTTGTTAGTCTCAATTATAAGATGATCAATTTAGAATATTCGTGTTTTATATGAGAGTATAGTTGTTTATTGAACAGTTATTTTAGCAAGACTCGAATTTAAATAAGAATATCTAAAATGAAAGCCAACACATTAAATCAGCATGGTTGTCGTTTATCTACTAGAGATTTAACACGTCGAGTTGTGTGAATCAGGAAAAAGAGTTTCGTAGCTGGGCGGTGGTGGTGTCATTTCGTTCTCATTTATTGGTGTTCTATTGATGATAGTCAAAGGAGCTTGGATTATAATATTATTGAAAGGCCCATGGATATGAGCCTCAAGGTTCAACTCATAACGTACAATGAATGGATTTCGAAAAGGCCAGTTAGCTGACTTCCACGAAAATGACGCTACAATTGAATCTGGCAGAATAAATTTAAAGGTTTCATGTAAATGTTCGCCTTGAAAATCGACAATATCTATAATATTATTTTTTAACACAATAAGATTTTTCTCCTTCGAAGAGCCCAGTATGCGCTCTTCAATAAGTACTGCCGTTATTCGATGAATTGTTATTCTTCTTGGATTGTATAAATCTACGTTTAGTGAGAAATATTTACCAATAACGGCTATATTCTTTGGAAAAACTACACGGAAACGAACTCCTTTTCGATTTTCATCTTCGTATTCAAGGTGGATCGCACGTGGTGGCGTTACTGCGCGCTGAATTACAATAGGAAAATGTTTCTCAATGCGCGCGTTATGCCAATCAGCTCGAATCAATCGAACACAAATAAAGTAGCAAATAGAGGGGCTCTGGTAGCCAGCTGATTTCACAGTGGGCGGCAGTGAGTCATCGAGAGAGAAAGAAAATGGCCACCTATGATTGCCCAATCTGAGTGTGTATTCCATCTGCTCATCAGCCGAGTGTATACATAATCTCTTGGTGAAAAAACATATGCGATGAGTAGTGGGCGACCTCTCAATGTGTGTTGTTTCATGAGTGGGATGGACGAGTTCACCGACCAATTCTATGGTCACATTTTTCAATCTCATTTCAGCATCCATATTATCAAAGCATTCGATTTTTCCAGAAACGATTTCGTCCGTTCGATAAAACTGCTTGTTTCGTTCAGACAACCGGAGTGAAATATCTATTCCCATTAGTGCACTATTACTAGAACCCATGAGTATCTAAAATAGAAATCGTCATTATCAATGTGAGATATCTCCTTCTCTTTCATTGGTATGCAGTAGCATGGATAATGCACACTACTACACCCAAACCGTCATCATGTGTATTGAATTAAAGATGAAAGAATCTTCAGTTAGGTGTTTATCGATCAATTCGAAAAAGCGCAGAAAGCAAGTGAATAAAGGAGAAGATACAGCACGATGTGATCAACTATGAACAAATAACAGAACAATGGAAATATAAGAACCGTGTGAAGCAAGAATTTCACTAATAAAATCATTGTGAAATTAAAAAAAAGTCAAAGAATGATGTATTCTCTATGAAGCATGTTTCCAACTATACGAATGACGGTTACAAAATAAAAATGTATAATCAGAGGAATAAAAAAAATATTACGCTAATTATTTCTTGATCCGCATGTGAGATAAAGAAACGGTGGATGGCAAAGTAGTAGATTCTCTCATAAAGCTTGATGAAAATCTATAATGCTCAATATCTACTAAATTTATTTTTCTCATGATAAGCAGAATAATTAGCTCAACAGTATGTTTGTGCAAATATTTCTATGCGAATACGATTTCAGCAAGTGTAAAGTTCATGGAAAAGTATAGTTACGAAGTAGACTAAATCACTAGTTCAACTTCGACCAGAAGAACCAACCGCATAAAGAAAATTCATATTTATCAGCAAGTTTGGTTTTTAGACATTTCGAAATTCCACTAAAATTTGATAGTAAAAGATAATAGGCTCTATAAAAATGAATTATTACATACCATTATTATTGAAATTTGAAAGTCAAGAAAAATACTAGAAACAGCTACGAAATGTCAAAATAGAATGCTTCTGAACAGTGAAAAGTAGTTCCTTTACTTTTAAATAGAATTCTATTTTTTCGAAAGTTGACTTAAAAACTTTCATCGAAGTTTTAATACTTTATTTTCAAGAATTCCTATGTGAATGAATCTGGCACTGAATTCGATAGTAATTCGTCAACTTTATAGAAATTCACATAAAATTCTAGACTCCTGTCGCTCTGATTCTCAGAATGATTCTCTTGGGAATGTAGAAATTCATCGTCGAATTTGTATCGACAGTTCTACAATATATTTTGCAAATGTACCTCATTCGTGTGTCGTCACATATTGTGTCACTAACAATATTCACCGCAATAAAAAGATGCCCTCATTTTGAATGATTCTTTACCTTTGTTTTTCGTCTTCTGATTCACAACTTTTTCTAGCATATACTGCTATATATGATCAATTCGATAGAAAACACTGAACTTATAAATTCTTATGTCTTTCTATTGGTTATTGATCGATCAATTCGTGGTCGAGACATGAATTTATGATCCAGATTAGATCAAGACGACTAGTTCTTAATATCTGTTTGTTAGATATTTGAAAAAAACGATTACCTAAGCTGAACGTTTTTGTTCTAATGCATGACTTGCTCAGACTTCAAGATTTTCTAATAGCATATGACTTTCTTGCATAAAATCTAAAAAAGAATCACACGAATGAGAGAAAAAAATGGCATTAAATACATGGCTAAAATCAGTAGTTATATTTTCAAATGTCTAACATACTCTCACATGAAAAATAGTCGACTCAACAGGTGATTAAAACTTGAAAGTACCCGTTTTTTCATACAGCTTTTCTTCTTGTGCGCATTCAATGGTCAGTTCTCACGATCTGCCAATCACACATGATGTTATTACTTCTGATGCTTTTGTTTTTCGTGCTCCTACTGTAAGCGAATTCAGCAGGGTACTGATACCAATTGACATGTAAAATAGTAGTCCTTTTCTTAGATAAAAACTGATAGATGCACTAAATTCTACATCGAAATCAACTTGTAGGGCATGCTTTATGTGCCGCGAAAGGATCCGTCTCAACCAATAACTCATATCATGCTTGAATATGTCGAGCATTTTGTCGCAAATTGTGACGCATACGATACGCTTTAAATCTGTGTGAAATTGATGGCAATAGAGATAATTGTACGAGAAGTAGCTTCAATTTTTACTTATGTAACTTAGAAAGTATAACAGTACATCATAGTCAGATGCCATTTTTTACTGTTTCAAAAATGACTGATATTAAACGTAAAAAAATCAGCATCTATTATAATAGCTATGTAAAAGAATATATTTTTTTAGTGATTAATGACACTCTGTTACCTGTATTTTCAAACAAACGTTCTATCAAATAAATATTTAGCATACATTTATGCAAAAATGAAAAACAAGATGTTGACTCAGTAGTCCATGAAATAATTGCCTTAGGCTAAATCAACACCGTCAAAAGCATAACGGCAAGCAATGATGAGATAAATTGTATGGATAAACTTGATATTGTGCTCTCAACCGTGACTCGAATTTATGTAGATAAACTAATAATAATCAGATTTCACAATTGCAAATAGTCATACGAACCAGTTAAACGAGTGAATGTATCTGGTTTTTTCTTTCTTTTACATCATGTCCTTGTGTGATCATCAAAAAGAGACAGGTAACGCCTCATGAATGTATTACTCATCATTTCTCCCTTTATTTTGCACTAACTCTTATTTTTCACATTTTATTTGATCTCTACTATAAAAGTGTAGAAACGAACTACAAATATTTGTATAAAACGCAATGTTGAGTTTTATTTGTGGTAACTGGACAATTCGTCGCGTACATGTTTATTCTAATTTAATTAAGGGAGACTAATGAGAATGTAGAATAATTGATATAGATAATTGTATGAATAGTGACAAGAAATGTCTTATGTTACTGAGGAGAATTATTTTATATTTATTTTTAAAATTAATGGGTTTTTTCTGATTTTCCCAAAATCCTATTAGATTATTTATTTTTTCCTTGAGATTCATAACTCAGTGTACGAAATTCGTGGGCTTATTCAATTAATTGAACATAGTCTACTTGATTCAATTACATCAAGCAACACGTCATATTCACTTTCATTAAGTTACGTTGAGACCAATCGTCTTGCGACGAATTGACCTAGTACCTTATTTTTATTGACTCACATGCAACAACTCGGCTGGCATCATCGAAAATAATTTAACGGTGACGTGTTGCATACGTGAAATGCTCCTAGTTTATGGCTGGTTTTACAGGATAAGTACTTTTATATAATGTCGCAGTTATAAGATTATTCTGTTTTGATTAATTTATTTATCCGATGAAAATATTTGTCCTTGGTAAAAATCGTCTTCAACTGAATATTGACGCGGTTTGGGTGTGGGTGGGTGTGGGTGTGGGGTGTGGGGTGTGGATCTGTCCCTCAAACACGTCCGCAACAACACCCACACACACACACCCTCTATTTTTGTCTCTTTTTCAATACTAGTTAACAATAATTGATTGAATGATGTTGCAATTAAATTTTAGACAGAAAGAAGAACATTGCTGTTTGAAAAATTATATTTTGTACGAAAATAATTGAAATATGAATGCTCTAGCTGTTGCAGGCGATGAGCAGCCATCTGACCACCGATTCAGCGGTAGTTCCCGAAAAAAATCACAAGCGAGACGACAAAGTTCGATTGTCGACCTATGGGCTACGGTAGATAGATCTCGTCTCGAACAGGATGTTCACATTATTCCTCTTGATGAGCTTTACCAGCGTTTTCATACACATCCTCGTGACGGTTTATCATCTGCTTCAATAGCAGATGCACAAGCTCAATACGGACTGAACAAAATAGTTCCACCGAAACCACCAAGGTATCTTTGGCTATTGTTCAAGCAATTGTTTATGGGATTCAACACTATTCTCTGGGTTGCTGCCATTTTTGCATTTTTAGCGTATAAACCCTTCGGGGACCCAATCCCATCGATAACGAACTTAGCACTGGGTGTTGTCCTCGTTATAGTTATCACCTGCAATTCTATTCTGAATGCTTACCAATAAATCAAATCAATCAAAATCGTAGCATCTTTTTCGAAATTACTGCCGACAATTGCTACAGTTCGACGTGATGGTAGAGAACAACAAATAATTGTCGATCAAATAGTGCCAGGTGATATTATTCTCGTCCGAATGGGTGACAAATTACCTGCTGATTGTCGATTTCTGATGTGTGAGGGAATCAAAGTAAAGACTTTTCACATAAATTATATCGTTTGATAAGAAGTTTTATATTTGTTTTTCAAAAAACAAAAAGGTCAATACATCGGAACTAACCGGTGAATCGAAGCCCGTCACGTCAACAGTTCGATGCACGAGTACAAACTTTATGCGGCTTCTATTCATCGATGGTTGAACAAGGTACTGGTGAAGCAGTGGTTATTGCCACTGGTGACAATACTGTTTTAGGCAAAATGTCACGATTGACACGAGGTGAATCGAGTGATGATGTTACCGGCCTACATCGTGAAGTCAATCGTTTTCTTTTATTTGTAGTTCTAGCCACTATTACTGGTATTATTATTCTTTGGATTACTTGGGGTGCATGGTTAAATAAAGATCATCATTCTTTTGTTACCTTTAAGGCTAATGTTGTTAATTCTATTGGTATGATTGTTGGGTTTTTGCCTCTTGGGTTGCCATCTGCTGTAACTCTCGGTAAGCGAAAATACAGTTGTACAAAAATTGAAGTATAACATTTTTCGTTTTAAGAGACTTCTATCACACATATAAAAATCAATATTAAGACATAAGTGTACTAATAGATGTTGAAAATATTCTTATAGAATAAGATCAACAGTTATCAATAGTTGATGTTGTTTAAGCATAGCATCTTCATGAAATACCAAAAATTTTCATTATTTCTGTAACACAGAATACTTTCTTTTTTTTTATATCTTATACTGATAAACAATTGTTCATAGAGATTTTAGTTTGAGTATTTGTTTTTTCTATTAAGTATTGACGATTGTGGCTAAGCGAATGTACCGACAACGTGTGTTGGTGAAAAGTTTACAAATAGTCGAAACTTTCAATTCAGTTTCAGTAATTGCCACTGATAAGCCTGGCACCTTGACTCAAAATAAAATGACAGTTACTCATCTCTTATGGGACACAGAAGGAGTCTACAAAGTACCTCTACCAAAACCGGCACCGGTTCAAGGGGGAACCTTGCTTCAAACGGTGCGTCGTCTATCAATGGGAGTCGTCAATACAGCTCAGCGTCTATCAGTGGGAGCTATTTCAGTTGCGCGTCGATTGTCAAGTGGTAATGTCAACCAACCAAAAAGAATGCCATCGTTGAGTGACGATGATGAACGGCATAATATACCGTCTATAGCAAGTGAAGTTCAAACTGAAGCATTCAAAGATCTTCTTGTCGGGGCTGCTCTATGTAATAATGCTGAAAAACAGATAGTACAAGATGCACAAATTGGGCAAGATGTATCGAAAATGAAATCGGAGTTGCGTCTTGTTGGCGATGCAGCTGATACAGCTCTCTACAATTTATGTGTCGATCGATGCCAAGTTGATATTGACGCTATGAGAAAAAACAACCCTCGATTGAAAGTATTACCCTTCAATTCATCCAATAAATTTATGATTAGTGCCAATGAACTTGTGTCAGTTGAAGCATCTGTTCCGCAAGGTGAACGTACAGTTTTGCTTATAATGAAAGGTGCGCCAGATATTGTTATTCAACGTTGTTCGTCGTACAAAACCAACCAAGACCAGAATTTACCAATGAATAACGAAATGAAACAGAAGTTGTTTAATCGCCAAGAGCTATTAGGTACGATGCATGAAACTGTAGAGAGACTAGATTTTTTTATCAGTTTTAAATATTTCTAGGTAAAAATGGTTATCGTGTTATCGCTATGTGTCAGTTGAAAGTTACTCGGGAACAGTATGATCGAATGATTGAACGATATACCGAAGAAAAACGTTCACAATCCATTGCCGAAGATCTGAACGGATTTCCATCGAACGGATATTGCTTTGTTGGCCTATTTTCCTTGCTTGATCATCCTCGAACCGAAGTACCTGATTCTGTTCTCAAAGCTCGTCGTGCTCAAATTCGTGTGGCCATGCTTACTGGTGATCATCCAACGACTGCCAAAGCAATTGCAAAGCAAGTAAACATTTTAACAACAGAAATTTCAGAAATGAACGGTGTCGACACGTTTAAAATTGAACATAGTCCTACTGGCCAGCCAACTCTCAAGTTATATCGGAATGATACATTATTGGAACAGCATGTACCTGGTACAGTGACACGGATAGATCCAGACAATAAAAATGCCAGAAAAATGGTACAGCAAGCTGCAATTGACGCTGGCGAAGCTGAACCTGATCCTCAACCACCCTGGTACAAGCGTGCTTGGGCATCTTGTCGAAATCAAGTCAGTGAACCGAAATCCGACCTTCCACCATCGTCTAAAATGGAGTATATTCCCTACGGCATTGTGGTAAGAGCCGATTATCTTGCTAGCACATGCAAAATATTTTTAAAGAATAGGTTACTGGTGCAGACATAGGTTATATGGACGATTTTATGTGGGATTGGGTATTGTCCCATCAAGAGTTAGTCTTTGCAAGAACAACGCCTGCACAAAAACTACGTATTGTAGTAGAATTTCAAAGGCGCGGCGAAATCGTCGCAGTTACAGGCGATGGAACTAATGATGCACCAGCACTGAAATGTGCTCATCTCGGCGTAGCCATGCAATCGGGCACAGAAGTATCAAAAGAAGCAGGCGATATGATTCTACTGGATAACAATTTTTCATCGATTATTCAAGCAATAGAAACAGGTCGTCTATTGAGTGATAATTTGAAAAAAGTGGCCATATATTTATTGCCTGGAGGTAAATTTGTTCAAAATATTTCAAGAGTTGTTCAATTACATTGTAGGTTCATGGTCACAAATTTGGCCTGTTTTCTTTAATCTCTGGTTTGCCATGCCATTGGCGCTTTCAGCCTTTTGGGCTACCATATTCTGTATGCTCAATGGTATATTAGAAAATTGATTTTTCTTTTCTAATTTGTTTTTTAATTTTCTTTTATGTTCAGATGTATTCATGTCACTTGCTATGGTTACAGAAAAACCTGAACTTGATATTATGTCTCGGCCACCCTCAATTCGTGAGAAAGATCATCTACTGAATGCAAAATTACTTTTTCACGCCTATGCACTTGTCGGCAACTTTGAATGCTTTACTGCATTCTTTTGCTATTGTTACTATTGGATCGATAATGGTGTTCCTTTTTATTCGTTTATGTTTACATTTGAAAATTTCGGTGTTCATCCGTACATAAATCGTACTTCGGATGAATTAGTATTGATGACCAATTCCGCTCAATCAGTCTACTATTGCTCTATGTGTCTTTTCCAATTTTTCAATTTTTTCGCTACACGCACTCGATATGAATCGATTATCGCACACAATCCAATTTGGGGTAAAGGTCAGAACTTGTACGTATTCGGTGCGATGTTGATTTCAGTTGGTATTCAATTACTTTTAACACTGATTGGTTGGTTCAATTGCACATTCGGCACAGGTCGAGTACCATGTAAACATGTCATGCCAACACTTGGATTTGGCATGCTCTGGCTAATTATTGATGAGCTGAGAAAGCTCTGCGTGCGTAAATATCCACGTAGTTTTATTGCACGAATCGCTTGGTAAAAGACTGATGTAACTGAATTATTTTATTTTAAACATATACAAATCAATTGGATATGGTAAACCAGCGTCATTATATTTACTTTACTTATAAACGAGAACAGACGCAATCTTCCTTTCAATTTCATATAGTATTTTATTTCGTTTAAGTTTTTGAAACTTGTATCTAAAAGCATAAAATCGAATTTTGCAGTTGCTATAGAATTGTTTTCTGACTGAAACTTACAAAAATTTGAGGATAGACTGTTCAAAGTGTACTATCGTTCTATGCAGTGCTAAGGAGACAAACAAATATAAGTTTTGTATTATGACCATGTAATTTACAGCAATTTCTGTTATTCATTTTCATGTATTTTCTCACGCGATGAACTATTTATCTTTGTGTCCATTACGTGATTAGATAAGATAGTTATCCAATTCGAAACAGAAACTCATGGAAAATAGTAATCTTATGGGTAAAACACAAATTGTTGTTTCGGTAAAAATCAAATCTTGTTGTTCATACTACATGTAATCGACAATTTGTGTGATAACAAATCTTCTATAACACTAGGATCAATTCTAAGTATTATGTCAATCAATTTAACCGAGTGTGTCTGTGCTAGTTTTATGAAAGACTGATATTTTGGAAGATTTTCAACTTCAATGTTCCTAGCATCGAACTATCTTGGGACGCGCCTGTATTTGTGGTAAGAATAGGAAATGAGGTCGAAAAACTGCATTGTATCTGGTTGGCGCATAGGTTCTGCACGTTTGTTTTTTCGCTCAACAATGAATTTATTTTTCAACAAAGATATACAAATATCAATCAGTAATATAATCGCCATTGTTTTCAACAACATTCGTCCATCTTTCTGGCAATAGTTCAATTCCGCGTCTGTAGAAAGTAGCCGGTTTTTATTCGAAAAAGGCAGTCAGGTCGGATTTTAGCTCATCGAAGTCTTCAGTGTTTATTGCACAAATAGTTACGAAGAGATAGGAACAGATGATAATCAGCTGATGAGAGGTCTGGTGATCATGGCGGGTGTGGAGAAGAACTTTCCATCCTAATTACGTAGTAAGCAGGAAAGATCAACGTCAATATCGATATTTGTTCGACCTTGAGAGAACAGAAATAAATGTATAGTAGTGAGATGAAAGAAAATAGAAGAACGAAAGACATACATATATAACGAAAAAAGAATATCTTTGTTGAAAAATAAATTTGTTGTTGGGCCAAAAAACAAAAACATGCAGAACTTATGCACCAACCGGATATAACCCGGTAATTTAATTTTTCGTTCAACAGATGACTTGATGCTAGGAAACTTGTGAATTTCTCTTATATGATATTTCTTGAAGAATATATTAAATATTATATTTCCAGAGCTTCGCACAGAATTGAACAAAACAAATATGCTCGTAGTCCTTCTAACAAAAGACTGCGTTATTAAATTCTAGTATGCAATTATTTAGATCTTATTTACATTCAATCTCATATTTCTACTATTGGCTTCCTAATGCCAGCATAATCTTCTTCTTTTTTTTTTGATAAGAATATTTACCAATGCTAATCTCCTACTAAATTATTTCCATTAAACATCAGTAATTAGATTAAACTTAAATAATAAATTGCTTTCTCCTTAATGCATATTATTATTATTATTATTCGATGTGCATATCTACATCGTCTATCGTATGGCACTTTCGAAAATGAGCAGAATCGAAATTATTCTATCACTATTTTAAATCGTTTTGTTTTTGTTTTGTTCACTCTATCTAAAAACCACTACCTATTTCGTTTAATTATCATCAAAAATGAAGTAATAACAAGTAAAATAACTCTACAAAAAAAAATACTAACGAAATAAATTTGATAAAATCAATGTTATAAAAAGCAATTTCGATAAGAAAACTCTTCTAGATGCATTGCAATAATCGGCTTGACAACAGACACTACTTGAAAATTCTCCAATTGTATGCGAAACTGAACAACGTTTTTTTGCACAACCTCGATATACATTTCCTAAAATCAATAAAAAACAAAAATTTTATCGATATTCATTTTATTCTTTTCTTTACCGAGTGAAACTGATTTCCAACAATAATATTCACAATCTATTATTTCCACGTTATCAGATAAATAATCATAGTTTTTGAATGATGAGCCACTCTTTATTGTTCTGCATTCGTTTGTAGCATCGCATTTATAACAGCGAATAGAATTCGTACGCGACGGAAATAGAGCTATGAAAATTATCAAAACAAAAAGGAAGTTCATTATCTAAAATGTAACGATACAAAAAAGAACACGCATACGCACAATGTTTCGATCAATTGTCTTCTACTTCGTTACTTTACTTATAACGATGTTACAATTATAGAGACGAATGAATGAAGAAAAAAGCATATTAGTAATATGACATGAATGTTTGAGCTCAATAACTATTATTTCTTGATTGACAATAGACTTAGTCACTCAAATAAAACTCAATGATGCTCATTAAATATGTTAATAATGAATAAGTCATATTTTTATTCGTGCAAAGAATAAAGTTGCCATTACCGAATCGATTAATTACTTTTACTGGTTGTTCTGAAGTAGAAAGAAAAGTAGAAATGAACAAGTAATTAAGAGAGTTGTTTTTTTTGCCTCGAAATCATATATTATGTACGAGAAGATAAGTGCACTTTTCGCAAAAAATGGACTCAGTCGAAGAAAGAAAACATAGAAAATCTATTCGTTATGTTTCCTCAATAAAAAAAATTGTTAACGAGTCGACTGTAATTTGTCAAGGAAAAACTATCAAAGGCGATAAGGAAGCAAAAAAAAAGAACTTGGTTCCATTTTTCTATGCCTCATCCATCTAACCTATTCTCATCTAATTCGATCTTTCTTTCATCTTCGTCGATTTAGATGCAGTCTATTATATCATGTTTAGTCAGGCATATAATATAGCAAGCAAAAAAAAGGAGAAAAAGAAGGAAATTAGTTGAGTAATGGGATCTTTAAAAGCATTTACGAAAATAACTCGTAGCTGTTCCTCTCTCTCTCTCTTTCCTCCTCGATTTATTTCCCCTCGTTGTCATTTCCTGATAAGTTGAGGCTATAGAAAATAAGCAAACATGGTTAGAATTTCAAAAAATAAGAAAACAAATCGGCCTTAAGGGATAACTATAACATTCTCTCGATACATTGTGATCAAGTTTCATTTATCATGGGTAATACAACGCAACACAGTGCGCCATCATCACCTTCTGGTATGTCAGTAAATCGACAAAATTCTACAGCGAAACAAGTTCATATAAGTACGAATCATGCTGATGGATTTTATTTTACTGGCGAACGTTTAACTGGTACAGTTAAAATTCCGACATCATTTTTGCATAGTCATTTACAAAATAAAAATAATTCAACATCAACAGAATTATTTAATAAACGCTCATTACGTAATCCTATTATTATTGAGCTTGTTGGCGATGCGACTTATTCAGCTGAAATTGATGTTGCTGCTGATAGTGATGGTCATGTGACGCATAAAATTAATCTATGTCGGCAATGTTCAATTGTTACTATGCATCAAAATAAAACCGAACTCCAAACAATAGAAAGTTCAACTTCATCATCAGATACGAAATCAAGACCGACAAATCCATCATCTGTACTCAACGGCACATTTCATTTGCATATTCCGGATGGTCTTCCACCATCATTATCAAATAATCGCACTCCATCAGTTGTTTATACATTAGACTTAAGTTTATCATCGAGTCGCTATCGCTATCAAATACCAATAACACTTAGTACACGCGGTTATATATCTCATCCAATGACTGACATTAAATTAAGCGATACTGCTGTTAACAAAAATGATATTTGTTTACGAGCTTATTCGCCACGGAATTATTGTCGACCTGGCGAACAGATTTCAGTACAAATAAATTATTCGAATCCTCAGCAACGTTCTATTCGTTCAATAACAGTTCAACTTGTACAATTCTATCGTATACATAGCGATCAAAATTATTCACTTCTAGATGGAAAAGAATGGACATTTGATATCGCTACAGTTTTACCATCAACGCAATGGTCTGGCGAAGCACACTTACAATTACCTAATCAACCATTGCAAGCATCCTATCCAGCGAGTTCTGTTGGTACAACACGAGCGATTGAATGCGAATTGCACTATCGAATCTTAATTGATCTCAATGAAAAGAAAGGCGATGATATTAATCTCATACTAGCACCAATTCATGTAACATACCAAAAATAAAACTCTATTTTATATATTATTCCACTGCTGTTGTTATTTCACATATGTATAGATTATTAGTTGCTTTTGTAATTAGTAATTTTCGTTTTTTTTTTCTATCTAGTTTGTTTATGTCACACAGATTATGCAACAGCAAAAAAAACTTCATCTACTAAAATTGTATGACAACTGTAGAAACAACTTTTCCTTAATAATACTATATTGATAATATACGTTTCATTTATTATTATTCAGAATGCCGCAGCAAAACAAAAACTATTCGACTAGTTATAATATTGTTTTTTGCTTTGAAAAGGATACATATATCGGGCAACGGGTAATTTCAATGAGAAGGGGGAAAATGTTTTTTTTCGCTCATTTGTAAGATCATATCTAAATGTATACGTATCGACGCAAATCAAAATAATATGCATGTAAATGAAAGTAAAAACAATTTTTATTATCAGTTGAATAGCCACGCGGCTAAATATTCGTGGGCTTGCGCGTGCATGACTTTTTTGTATCGATTAGCAATACTAACATAAATATTTTACCAAATACCTATGCGATTGCAATTGCTTCTTTTGGTAAAAAAAGTAGGAAAGAAAATATTGAATTATATCCACGTGGGTTATAGATTTATGTTCTGTTTTTTTCTTCTTCTTCGCCTCTTTCTCATTTTAAGTGTCTGTACACACCATGAGTAGAAATACTCGTATACTATTTCCTTCATTCATATTTAATATATGTATAGTTGCTGGTGTTTTATAACGAAATATTCAAAAGCAAAGTTAAGACATCGTTTTTTGCAGACACGTACAAGTAAGAGAAGAAAACAAAACATGCATGTACAAAAGCTTTTGTTTTAGTCGTTGTGACAACATCAATATAAACATTAGAGAAAACTAGAAAGAAAAATACCGAAATCGATCGCTGAATCATCGAATTATTCATTGCTTGGATTACTTTTAAATCTCCATATGACGAAACAAAAGCAATCATGAGTAGTATGCTAAGTGATCAACACATATTGTTTCCTAATCGTGGCGAAAAATCATACAAATTAAATGAGTTTCTGGCGATTGTCAATGATAACTGTGATAAGCAATATGAATTACCAATTATAGTTAATATAACATCATTAAATAGCTATGGAAAATCGATAAAACATCTCTTGCTGAAAACGAATGCATTTTTACTATTCAGTATCTCTCAAATTGACTCAATTTTAGCTGAATATCACCATGCACCGGATGGAAATCAGTATATTCACCGAAATAGATTAGCATTTATGCAAAAGAGAACTACTTCAAAAAGAACAGTGAAATTTCAAAGAATGAAAAAATTGTCTAAGTCACTTGTTTCATTAACTTCTGATGGTCAGGCGCCTATTCCTGTTGGTGATGATGGTCTACCTGATGATAAAAAGAATATTCCATATAATGAACGAACTATTATTAACAATTTAAATCAAAAACGTCCTTCAGCAACTCCCCATTGTCGTGTACCTATGGAATTTCCACGCTTTTTTGAACTGCTTAATGAAAACGATAAACCAATTCAGCCGTGTCATATATTGAGTGAATTGCTTATTATTGAGAAAAATATTGATGATAACGAAAAGCATGTTGAGAAATGGCCAAATGCTTTTCTACTTCGTAGTTCATGTAAAGCCTATACAGAAAAACAGCCATCGGAAGTTTTAAATTCAACAAACACGACTCGACGTTCACATACAACTACTAATTCTGGTTCTAGCTACAATACAAGACAAGATAAAGAATCATCGAAGAGTCTCATTGAATTAAATGATGATACGGAGAATCTTCAATCTGGACAAATTTTAACTATTTTAAATGATTGTTATGCTTTTCGTATGCGATTATCGGATAAAGAATACAAAGAACAACAGTCACCCCCATCGCCATCGCCATCACCATCTCTTTCCTCTTCACTGTATTATCCAGTAAATTGGATGCGAGAAAAAACGAAATTATTGTTATCAAAGAAACGCAAAAGTACAGCTAGTAGCGATGCTATACCAAGTGAAAATAGTTCTAGTACAGCAATTCCTAAAAAAGCAGAGCCCTATTTAAAATGTCGAACACAACAAGGTAATATTGTTTATATATTTCTTCATGAACCTGGCGCTTTTAGTCCAATTCATTACGAAATCAAAGATTCAAATGCAAATACAAATACAGAAACAAATCTTCTTGGTGTATCCGGTGTTCTTGGCTTAAAAGATATACTTTCAAATTTTCGTCTTCCAGTATCGGTTCATGTTGTTGATGGTTTAACTATATTTGATAGTATTAACTCAACTACGTCTGTTAGTCGAGACGAATCATCAATTTCAGCATTGACTAAGTTGCGTTTACTTATGCCATACGATGAAAATGTTGTTTTTGCTCATCCATTACTATTACATCCACAAAAATCTCATAAATCATCATCATCAAGTATTATTATTCCTCTTTCAGTAGATGCAGATATTGAAATTCAACCATGTGTAAATATGTCTCAAATATCCAAAACTGAAATATTTCAAAAACTACTTGAAATATGCCTCGAAAGAATCAAACTATATAGAACAGAAGTATCGCTCATTAATGTTCCTATTAAACTAAAAAGCAATAAATATCAACAAAGGCCATCACTGACTAAAAAACGTTCTCAGTCTATGTCTTATTTCGACGAAAGACCTAACGACCAACTTCAACCGTACGATCAAAACACAAATAATAACAATCAACAGTCGAATTATTCAATGTCTTTCGCATCTGTTGAAAGTCTCGATCGAGCTAGTACTGAAGCATCCGAAAGGAAATCCTCATCAAGCGATAAAAAAATAAAGCCAAAACTCAAGCTGTCAGAATATCATCAAAAAATAAATCAAGAGAATCAGAGAAAATTTTCTCAAGACATGCTGGCTAAAGAAGATGAAATGTATAAAGATGTCGACAAAATCTATGATTATATTCGTACAGGTGCTATTATGCAAGAAGTAGAAATAATTCAAGCGAAACAACAAACAGGCGACAGTACGCCTATAATTAATATTTCAAGTTCGACACCAAAAGTTTGTCTATTTTAAATTTACGATCTAACTGCGTATGTATATATTTTTTTCAATTAGGAATCTGAAAGACAAAACTCATCAGAAGATCGTAGTTTAGGAACAATGATCGCGCATAGATTTTCTCCGAAAGTAAACGTTATTAAAACATTTAGTATTGGTTTTGAAGTACAAGAAACATCTACAAACGATGGCAATGTTAATGATGAACAAGCTCGTGCTCTTTTTCTAGCATCAAAACACCGTTTAAAACCTAATTGACTAGATTTGTCTCGATCGACAGTTGACAATGTTGATGAGAAAAGCATGAATAGACACTAAATTTCCATTTGCTTTTATTCTGTTTAATCAAATAAGTGATTGTCAAAAAGAATTTATATTGTTTTCAAATATACTACAGCTGAACATATTTCTAAAGAACACTGCAATAATTTGTTCTATTAAAGAAAAGAAAATGTGATTAACTTGGTCGTTATCTTAATGTTCCAGATAAGCTTTGCAAGTGCCATTGATCTAATCCTAAGTCAAATCAAATCTTTAATCAAGTCATGACTCTCGTCGAATGATATAAAATCGTATGTATAGTTATTATCTTATGCAAGTAAAACACGATACAGATGCATCGTTTGCATGTTACTTGTAAGCATCGAGAAAGAAAAGCTTTTTTCCTGGCATATATGTAAATACGTTGTCAAATATTTACAAAAAATAAAAGAATCTTTCATAGGCAAAACAATACCAAACGTCTTTAGAATGGTTCATCATACACATGGCGAATTTTATTATTGCACAATACGAAAATCTCTAACATAGAAAAATATCCATTGAAAGCCAAATCATTGTTTTTACAAGATTTACTAAAGCAGCTCATTTTTTCCTACAAGACTATTTGAGAAAGATTTGACGATAGTTACCAATCACTTGAAACAAATGATTTATTTATACCATAATTCCAATGTCGACTGATCATAGACAATGTGTCAGATGGGCAGAGAGAGAAAATAAGAAATGCTCTTGGCTCGAGTACAGCAACAGGGAAGCACTTCATCCCAATAAACAGCTTTAAGAGAAAAATTTTCTTCCGACTCAACTGTCGAACCAATTATTCGTTTTCACGTGACATTCATTTCTCTATTAATTCGGCTGTCAAACTTGACGATGGCACTTTTTAGTCACATAAAATATTTATATGACTCCAAAATGAGAATTATATATGCTGTTACGTTTTATGATTTTATGCGATTATGGGTAACTTTCTAAAATAGTCGACAAACATATAACTATTTCAATATGAATGGAAGGCAAATATCAATTTATAAACTATATCGAAAAAAATCACAAAGATGTAATGAAGCAAAAAATACGAGGCATGAACATAAGCGAAGTACCAATCAAAATTCGTCGAAAGTGTGTCGAATGAAGCATAAATAAATGAAAAACAAATGGTAAAAAACAAAAAAATAAATGAGTCAAACCAAGAATGCAGAGAATGACATAAAAGTCAAGCGTAAATACTTGTTTACACTGTTTGTGCAATGAGCACACACTCATGACGGCTAGCAGTAGTATTGTCAAGTTGATTTATGTTGTATTTAACGCCATTTTTCGTAAATACATCCATTTGACACATAAAAAGTATCCGATCGATCTACTCATTTTTATCCAGCTTTTACAATAGAAGATTAAAGAAAATGAATAATAATGACTTAAATTTCTTGTTTGTCGTTATTTCAAAAACCCCATGCGCATAAATATCAATATAAAAAGATCGCAGCACAAAAAAAAACAAATATAACAATAAAAAGAAAAAAGAAAACACAATATGTTTATGAGGTAGCCATTATATTTCGACAATTGTGTAATGCAAAAAATGATGTTTGAACACGTTTCTCGAGTGCAACTAATTCTTGTACCGTTGGCGCCAATGTATCAACATGTCCTTGAGATGCCGGTACTACGAAATTACAAAACACATCATTTTATATGTAAATCTGATTTAATATAAAATAATTCTTACTTTCTTTTTTTCGTCTTTCACCATAAACGACTTTTCCATCGAATTCATCAACTGGTATATCCAATTTTTCATCGGTTTGCGAAATAGTTACACCTATATTTATATGAAAACTTCTTAGTAAACATTCGATTTATTCTCTTTCTCTTACCAAGATGTTCTTCAATGTCAGCAAGATAAGTCATTTCCGTATACCATTTACAACAACCATTTTGAGCGACCAATGTTGTATTATGACAATTTTTACCTTTACTTTGACATGTATGATACCACACTTTTTCTGGTACCGTCGAAACAAAACTAATTGCTAAACCCATTCTAAATATAGAATAAAAATTAGTAACAACTAAACTAATTCATTTATTACCGGTCAGCTCGTCCAACGCGTCCGATTCGATGAATATAATTTTCTTTTTCATCGGGTAATGTCATATTAATTACTAAACATAAAATTCAATATGGACATAAGAATTCTCCCATATCTTACCAAATGGTAAACCGCTAACATCAATTCCACGAGCAGCAACATCCGTACATATTAAAAATCTCACGTCATTAGCTTTAAATCTTTCTAAGTTACGTTGTCGTTCATCAGGATTTCGATCCGCATGTAAACATACACATGATAATCTGTGTTTGTTTGACTTTGGTCCTATATTTTGAATTTCTGTGGAATAAAATTTTCTTATTAGAATTTATATCTTACCACCGCCTTGCTTAATAAAATATCTTTCTAAATTATCACAATCAAGTTTTGTACGACAGAATATTAATGCACGATCCATTTTAAATTTATCAATAGCTTGTAAACAATATTCACCTTTAAGAATTTTTATGGCTTCAGAAAGAGTTTCTAGAAGGAGAAATCAAAAGAATAATTGAAATGAATACTATATTTCAATGAATTTTACCTTTAGATTCACTTTGAAAATTTAATTCATCATTGAGATGAACATCGTCAGTCTTTATATGATTACGTAAAGCACGCCATAGAGTATTTTTCTTTGCATCAACCAGACAAACCTAGCAGAGAAACCGTAACAAACATAAAAGCAATCGATTGGCACTATTTAACTTACCACATGATGAACAGTTTCTGGTACAGCATCTTCGCCTTTGAGATCGACCCATGTTGGAAAATGCATAATTGCATCAGCTAATTTTTTAACGTCAAAATTATGTAACGTTGCAGAACAAACAATCATTTGTAAACGTTTTCCATCTAATGTAACACTAGGCATTCTTTGATGTAATCTTGTTATTAAATCTTTATATCCTTGTGATAGTAAACCATCCTAAGGAGAGACAACGAATGACACATTAAAAAAAATAGAATATACAAAAAATATTTTATTTACAGCTTCATCAAGAATGAAAAATCGCATGTGTGTTAAATCAATTTCACCACCACTAATTAATTCATCTAGACGACCTGGCGTAGCAACAATTATATCGATACCTTCACGTAATACTCGTATTTGTTCACCAATCGCTACACCACCAATAATTACGAGTTCTCTATGATAGAATAGTTCATTATAAAAAAAAAGATTTTGTTTCCATTTTTCGTTTATAACTTACCGAACTCGAGGATTATTCAAATATTTTTGAAATACTTTAATTTGATTGGAAGTTTGTTGAGCTAATTCGCGAGAAGGCTGCAAGAAAAAGGTTTTTGCTTCTTGCTGAAACATAATCTTTTTCCTACCTCCATAATAATTGCTAATGGTGCATTTGATGGACGTTTTTTTGCTGTTACATTTTCACCAATACCTTTGATTTGCGATTGAACTAAACATTCTTTTGGTGCATTATCGATTGATACGGCACCATTCTAAATATTCAAATATATGTACCTAATGATTACAATCAATGGATTATCAAAGACCTACCGGTGTTGTTTTAAATGGTTCTGCACCGAAATTAGCGCGAATATCGCATGATTTCAAACAAACATGTGCAAAAAAAGCATTTTCTTGTAATGGGCGAGGAATATCAAATGCATGGCCAAGATCTTTGCCTAAACATCGACAGCTATTGATATAGGTAAACTTCGATATTCAAACAAACCATTTTTAAAAAATCGAATTTTCATTAGATCAAGATCTAGTAAACTTCCGACAGTATCATTAACACCAAATGTTTCACCATAATCATCAAATTGTTTTGCGAATGATTTTTTTCCTGTACCACCATAGCCAAAACCTTGATTATCGGTTCCAAGATCTAGCGGTGCTGATGATACTGACCAACCGATACGTGCAATCCCATTAGGATCGGTTTGGGTTATTTCAAAATAATATCGACCTAATACATGATACGATTAATATGAGAAGACAAGCAGTAAATAATTATTTACCATTGCCTTTTACACCTTTCGTTGAACGAGCACCATTCCATTGTCGTTGATCTCGACTTTGACATGTGAAACCATCAGCATCGATAGCTAAATAATATAAATAAACAAAGATATCGAGTTTTCTAGTAGTATAGATGCTAAGCTGCCACAGTTATTGGTAACTGTAAGTCAGAAACGGTAAGAGATCTGATGGTGAACATTTATTTTTTTTAAAAGAAGTTTTTATTCTGAAGTCTTGGATACAAAATGTGAAGGAAAACATTTGATCATTAAAAACATAGATAAGCTTACCTAATCCATGTGAACGATCATACAAATTAAGTTGTACTGATTTGGATTCATTGTGTGAACTAGCTTGTGTTCCTGTACGAGGACCTTTATTTCCTTCTTGAATATCTCTCAGTGTTTCATGCACAATTTGTAATATTGGTAAACAAAATGCACCAGTTTTTCCGCTGCCAGTTTCAGCTGCCTAAAAGTTTTGTTTTTTTAAATAATAAATTTTCATTGATTCTTTTCTTTTTTGTAAGTCCTACCATTAAAACGTCACCACCACCAAGAATCATCGGAATAGCTTCACTTTGAACATCGGTCGGTAGTAACCAACCCATTTCATCAACAGCTTTCGCTATTTCAGATAGCACACCTAATTCTGTTTCGAAAGCGTTCATTCTTGTTCTTCTATTTATTAATCTAGAAAACAAAACTAAACCTAATTAAAACCCATTATATCTTTCACTTCATTCAAAGTGCTATCAGCTATTTCTTTTGCACGCTCACGACCATTATCAAGTATACTTAAAAGATAGGAGCGATCATTCATTAATTTTAAATATTCAGCACGTTTTGGCCGAAAATGTTCAATGATTATTTGTGCCAGACGTTTTTTAAATGCACCAGTATTCATATTATCTTTTTGTGCTTCAGCAACAATACTTTCAATCGGTTGATCAGTCATACCCGCATAGATATCAATTAAATTCGACACGCCTGGTCTTTGTTCACGATCGTAAGAAACATGAGCATTGAAATCTGTTAAAGCTTTCATAACACGTTCTTGAATAATTTTTTCATCGTCCATTATATCAATACGTGAACGTTCTTCAATATCAGATTTCGACATTTTTTGTTCCGGATGACGAAGACTTCGAATACGATTTGTTTCAGCTATTGAAACGCAATAAGAAACATTTAGCAGAAAAACCAAAAATTCAATTACGAACTAGCCATCATTTGTGGAACAGGAAATATATTTTTCTTATAATAATGATAGAATTTTTCTATCATATAAGTACATAATTGTAAATGAGGAATTTGATCTTCACCAATAGGTAAATGTGTTGTTTTGAAAAGAAGTATATCAGCTGTTTGTAAAATTGGATAAAGAAAAAGGCCTAAGGGTATTGAACTTTCATCTTTTACTTTTGACTAAAATAAGAATAGATAATGATTCTTTTTTTGAAGAAAAGTGAATTGAAAATATACTTTATATGTTGGAATATGACCAACTTTTTGAACTGTAGTTAATGTACCTAATAGCCAAGATAATTGTGTATGATGATAAAGCTTCAAAGAAAGAATTTTTCCATTATTTCAAAAATCGAAAATTTAAGTTTTGTTTTACATCGGACTGACGATAGATAATACTTCGTTTTGGATCTATACCAGAAGCAATTAATGATGCAGCTGTTTCTAAGACTGATTTTCTGGAGAGAAAAAAAAAACAAAAATATGTTATCGAAAACTATTCTAATATTTCATACCTCAATGTCTCAGGTTCACGTGGAATAGTGACAGCATGTAAATCAGCTAGCATAACAACCAAATTATCTCCACTATTTTGTAAATCGATCCACTTTTTAATTGCACCTATGAATAAAATCGGAAAATGAAGATGAAACTATTTTTGCCTAAAATCTACCTAAATAATTTCCTATATGTGGTACACTCGATGGTTGTATACCACAAAGAACACGTCGCTGAAACATCTACAAAGCAACAACAACGGAAGATCTTAAAATTATGACTTCGATATGAAATGCATTAGTTTTTGAGTCTCTTTTAGATCATAAATATCAGACAAATTTATACATTCTATTGAACAATGTTCGTATCGATAATAACTGCATGAAATAGTGTTTCAGCTGCTTCGATAGCTGTTTTACTTTCAATCAGTTTTAATTCATTACCACAAGTATTATGAATATTAATTGAGTCACATAATTCTACAAAAAGAAAGCGATAAATTTGAATTTATTAACAATTAATCAATAGAAAATATTTACCAATGGTTTTTAATAAAACTTGATGAAGAACAGATATAGATTTTTCACAAGCTGACTATAAATAATAAAGATGAATAATAGTAGAAGTTATTCGTAAAATACAACCAATAAAATTAGCTTACGATAAGATTCTTCTCTTTGTGAAACCAAGCAAGAATCAAAGCAGAAAATAAATCTCCTGTACCAGTAAAACAGCCTCTGATATATGGAAAATCTATTCGGAATGTTTGATATTGGTCATTGGAAGTTTTTGCACTTGCATACATTTGCAGCGTATCTTCTTTACCACCTAATTTAGCTGCTGATATACTAGAAACAATAATATGAGTAGGACCCATCTTGTGTAAAGATTGTATTGATTGCCAAAGGACTTGTTCTTCATAACGATCAGAATTACTTTTAACCTGTGATCCAACTAATTGTCTAAAGAAAACCGATCAAAATTTGACTAGATTATGTTTTACTTACTCTAATTCAAAATCATTTGGAGTAACAATATCAGCTAGAGGAAGAATTACACTCTTATACATTTCAATGCAGGATTGATCGACATACTACATGTGATTTTAAAAGTGAACGATGATAATAATATGATTGCACTACTTACAAGTTTACCATTATCACCTATTACTGGATCACAAACTGAAACATAAAACATAATCGAATAGAACAAAAATAAATCGATATTTTATTTCGAGTATTTACGGTATTTTACATGAGGAGATTTCGATTTGATAAGACGTACATATTCAGCAATAACAGCTAATAATTCACCTGAACCCATATAACCCGTTAAAATATAATCATATTCGAAAATTTCATTTGCAATTAAACCTTGAAAAATAGCTCGAAGTTCATCGACACTTAATCGACTACCTTTTACTACTTTGTATCCTAAGCAATGATAAAAATCAATAGTGAAGGGGAAAAAAACTAAAAATAAGATATGAACCAGTATGATTTGAATAATGAACAGAATTAATCACATCAACTTCGAAACTATAAAGCTGAAAAGATTTATTTTCAATATTAGAATCCTAATTTTTATGTTAATAAGAGAAAGAACCTGTAGGATAAATGTTGCACATTTATTGCCAACAAATCCATGAACAACATGACTTTGAATGGATAATACTCGTGGTATTCGTTTTTCTTTAACAGACATAATCAATGAGAAATGAAAATATAAAAGCAAAACAAATTTTGTTGCTGCAATAACTTGAGTTCCAGTTGCTTAACCATACAATATAACATGGAAGCTGCACATATTCAGACTAAACCAGAGGTCGCACACAATCAGAAATGAACATATTATTTAATGAATTTTAAACCTCCAGCCAATAAAAATAGAGATGAATGTACGTTCATTTAAATTTTTCGAGTATTTACGCTTATTATCAACATTTCTAACAGAAATCTAAAACGAAGGGTGTGGGTGTGGGTGGGTGTGGGTGTGGATGTATTAGTTTAAAAGGTTTTAACTACAATCTAGGTTTCGACCTTTTTCAAGGAATTTTTAAGTTTTTTAAGAAAACGAGATCGACACGACGCGTTTCGTCCTTTCTCAAGGGACTCATCAGGTATCTTCGAAATTCTATTACTATATAAAGTAGAAACTCATTCAAATATAAAAATTTGAAGAAGTTAAAACTTAAACATAATAATAAAAACATAATTTCAATAGATTAGAAATCAAAATTTTTAAGAAATTTCATTGAAGAGAATCTCGATTGAACACATTACACGACTGGTTTCGCCCTTGCTTGGAGGACTCATCAGGTGTGTTCTCAACCGATAATTATATAAAAGTTAAAAACTCTTCAATATAAAATCAGAAGAAGTTAAAAACCAAAACTTAATAACGAGAACAACTTTAATTTTCAAGAACATTGAAATTAATTCGAGATAATATATACTATTCTACTAGAACGTGGATTTCTAAACCTTTATTATTGAAAATGCCTTAGATCAAAACAATTGCACAGCAAATTTTCACGTTACAAGATTTTCTAGTAGATTTGTCTACAATGTATTAGTATATAAATCGAAAACTATCAAAATCAATGTAGAATTGAATGTTGTAGAAAAAGAGAAACAAACACGTGATTCCAATAAGAATTGAAAATTAAAATATATTGATCATAAATATCGGGTGTCCCAGAAATAATGAGCCTCTCAGTATTTTACCAATATCTCCGTCAGTTTTCGTCGCACACATTTAACTATTTTCACCAAAAGATCCCTCGTTCAGTTCTCTACAAAACCGTATAAAACGTTTTAATGTAAAAAGGAACCGTGAAAAATTCTAGGCTACAGACTACAAGACACCAAAATGATGAGTTTTGTAACTGCGTTTTTTTCAAAAAATAATTATATTTTATCTATGATTTGGCAGGCGCCTAGTTGTGCTCGTCCCTGCTTTTCGATATTTTCAAATATCTTCGTTCTCATGATCCTTAATGTAGGTCGTTTGAACAGGATAGTACTATACAAATGGTCATATTTCTTACAAAATAACGTGAAATCGTCAAACTTCGTTTTTTCAAGCCACATTTGTATACAAAGCAAAGAATATATACAGGCCATTGCATAGGCTTGGTAGGCGAATCATTTGCCCTAAAATGAGCAACAATAATTTAGCTTAAAAAGTTACTTTAGGACATAGGCGTCGGAATTTCCCAAAGTAACGCCAAAGCCTTGCCGAAAAATTCGAAATATGTGGAAAAGAAAAAGCTTGGCTGTATGAGAACTAAAGTGTCGAATGGAATTTTTAATTCCCATCAAGAAAGAGTTTTTCTAGGGCTACACAATCAGTCATTCAGTTTTTCTGTATACCGCACATCTCACCACCGCTAAGATAATAAAAATTGGCAAAACAAATTTGCAAAATCCGTCATTTTGGTGTCTTGTAGTCTGTAGCCTAGAATTTTTCATGGTTCCTTTTTACATTAAAGCGTTTTATATGGTTTTGTAGAGAACTGAACGAGGCATCTTTTGGTGAAAAGAGTTAAGTATGTGCGACAAAAACTGACGGAGATATTGGTAAAATACTGAGAGGCTCATTATTCCTGGGACACCCGATAATATATGTATTATCTGTTCCATATCCGATATTGTGAATAAAAAAGCTCTAGCTTTAGCTATTTAACTTATATACATAAACTAATGCAATAGATATGTGAAAATAGTGTTATTCGACTGAGAGAGAAATAGAAAAATCAAGCCATTTACTTATATGAGACTTATGTAACTAAAAGTTGATAACGTTCACAAAATATCCATGTTTTTTTTCGTGATCGATTAAAACTAAGTTCAAGTTGGTATGTTAAACATAGTATTCCGATTCACCGGTTTATCTAATCAGATTGTTTTACTATGTGACTAAGGCCATGAATGAAATTCTTTTTTTCTTCAAAAACGTTGAAAACTATTGAAAAAGTTCTATACAATGTTATGGGGTAAATATAAACCAATATCTAAAAATATAGTAATCTATATCTAATTTTAAAATAAATTTATATCTAATACGGGATGAATTTATATCTAATTAAGAAAATAATATATCTAATTTTAAAATTTATTTATATCTAATTGATTAAGTAACACTACCTAACAACCCAAAGTTATATACAATTAATTATTAAACTAATAGAAAAATATCTTGAGGGTGCGGAGTGTGGTTGTGGGTGTTCTTATCTCTCCTCACACCCACACCCAGTTCTTCGAGTTTGAGATGTATGAAATGTTGCTTTTATAACTCTATCATCCTCGTCTATAAAGAACATGCTACGAAATCAGTTTCTATGTAAAGTAATAAACATGAAAAAAAAACAATTTCTTCTTCAAAGATTTATTTTAAAAAAATATTATGGTATGTTGACGTCACATAAAAATATGAATTCAAGTCAACGAAAGATCAGACAAAAAAATGAATTTGGGGGAGTACAAGGAGGTAAAAAAACGTCTGACAGCTGAAAGTACATTTATAATTTCTTTAAAATAGTAGCTGTAAATTTGTTTTTGCGTCCTTCGACGATTCTTTATGAGAGAAAAAAAGAGTAACTTTTTCCGCTAAATAAAAAAATAAAAGATTCTCAAAACAGATGATGAGATGCTTTGAGTCATTCGAATTGTTCTCGTCAACCTGCGATTTACCATTATATATTGTGGCCTTGCTAGTGCTGCTAAAATGTAAGTTAGTAGCGTCCTCTTGTCTTTTTTAATATATGATTGGTTCCTTTATTTAAACAAATCAATAAATGGATCAAACAAGTGCTTCTATTTTGTTGTTGTTGTTTTTTGTTTTTTAACGTCTCATTATCTATCACCTGGTTGATCATAGATGAGTAATAACTATAAAAAAATATCCAAACTGAATGAATGTCTTGTACTTTTTAAGATTAATCATATTCAAATAAAAGTGAGTTTCAATCTAGCGGAATAATCAGATGATATATTATTCCAGTGGTTATTTCCTTTTTTTCTTGTTCCCAATCATAATCAGCTTTGATTACATGTCATTTATTAGTATGAATTCGTACGCAATATCATACGACATTTTAAAATACTTTATCCTTGCTTTTTTTTCTACTATACGATAATAGACTAGCATTTGGACCAAGGTATACTCAATACGACTCTCGATCATATATCCACATCATTAGCACGATACAGTAACAACTAATATTAGGCATATGTCTCATGTGTGTTCTTTTTTTTTCATGTAATAGAAAACCCCTGGATGATTGGTGTTGTTCGTCCCTTGAGTTGTTCAAGGTTTTAACACCACATTGTTGTTGCCGTCATCCATATAATGACGAATGAGTTACACAATTAAGAAGCAAAAAGAAAATGACAAAGTATGTAAAGCAAGAAATAAGGACAGAACACAAAAGAAAGAAAGATTGTCGTTTGTATGTAATGAAGAACGAAAAAATACCGAGTTACAACTAATAGTTTCAGAACAGAAACGAATGTTTGTGTCAGTTTATTGAAAAGACGTTTCGATTTGAAATGAAATCAATTCGATTAGGTTATTTTCTATATCTATGTAGATTATTTCTATTCATATTCCGTTCATTTTTGATAAATCCATGATATATATGGTAAATATGTAAGTGCATTTTGGAGAATGAAAAAATGAATAGAATTTTTTTATTTCTACTAAGTATTAATGCTTTTTTAGTCATACTTTAGAAGTCATGCTCACATCAATGTTCTTTTTTCCCTTCAATCAGACAATGAATTATTAATACGTAATTGTTACTTGTATGTTCTCATCTTTGTGCTAGAAAAAAATAAAGAGAAAATAATAACCATAGAAAATATAAAAGTAAAAAATAGTCCAGATTAGCAGCTGTAATACACTCATCATACTGTTTCCGATATCTAAGAGAAAAAAAAGTGGAAGAAAATCAAAGTGGTCGTACTTCGTTGAGAGTTCGCTTGGCGATTGCATACGTCATCGTCGGTTGTTGTCTCTATTTATCGATTCCGTTCTTTCTTTAACACTTCAGAAATATGCTTGGAATTTACTGCAATCATTCGCTCGTATTCTTCTCTTGTTTTATTTTATTTGAATTTTTTTCTGCGCATAGACACATTTTATTACTGATAGTAATGTATCATCAAAGAAAAGCAAAGTGTATTGGGGCGAAATATGATACCGTATCTTCGTTCCCTATTTAAGTTTTTCGTCAATTCTCCTTCCAACATTTTTCATATGATTATTGAATAATATTGTAGATATTTACGCAAATGATAGTTCGATCAATGCTTGTCCTATCAAGGTAGGACATTTTCTTTTGTTTTCTACTTGCTTAGTTGAAATTTTGTAGATGATTAAGTCATAGTGGTTCTCGATTTTGCATGGCTATGGTTCTTCAACCAAATCGTGTTACAAGCAGCAATAGCAGCGCGGTCCCAATGGATTCATACAATCAGCTGCACCATCCGCCAACTCAAGAAGACAGTTTTCATCAAAAAATATTCGATAAAGTTGAAGAAGGAAAACGTGCTAAAGACCCTCAAAAATGCCAACAAATCATTGATGATCTAATGAAACTACTTAAACATCTTACAGCTGATGTTAATAATTATAATTCAGCATTTCGTGACACACGACCACCATTTTATATGCAAGTAAGCAAACGATTTGATTTTTTGATGAAAAGAGATTTCCATTCGTCTTCATTTCTGTTTTTTTGAAAAACATACAGCAATAACAGTAGTTTTTTACATGATTATACAGTTGAAACGTCATTGAGTTAATGTTTCAATACCTCGAATTCCAGTTTTAGAACAAAAATATGTTTTTTAATACCACAAAAGAAAGAAAATTAGTAGTTCTATATATAAATATGTGGGCTCAATTGATCATTCAGATGGACCATAAATACTTTCACCATTTATGTATACAGTTTCTTAAGCGTTTAAAAACCTGCGCATTCTATCGTGATTCGATTAAAAGTTACTCTCAAGTTTTTCTTTTGATTGTGAGCATGGATATTTACTGATACTGGAAAAAACAACTAAAGACGCTGAGCATACTCTACGATTTAATGAGAGTACTGGTTTTCACCTCTTAAACGATTTGAGTAGAAGTAGGATGATAGCTACTTAGTTAAATATTTGGAAAGAATTTTTCACCCTTTCTAATGTATCTTATGATTATGTTCACTTACGTGTTTTTGTAAAATAGTTTTTTTCTTTTGAGGAAAAGATAGTTTCGTATCAAAGACCCCAGACACACCGAAAAAGTTATTCAAGTTAAAGTTGAATTAAGCAACGCAATTGATGCATTAAAATTTAAATCGTCTCAAAAAGATGGCTGAAATCATAATGCACCAATCACACTGCTTAATTCAACTTTAACGTTAATTCACTTTTCCGGTGTGCCTGGGGTCAAAGACATTAAAAATCATTATCATGATATTCTTTGTAATTAAGTAATCTATTTTTGTTTCTATTGATTCGTCTTACGCCTGGAGTATTAATCATAATTGTCTTTATATTACAGTTTTGATTCGCTTTTGTTTTTGTTGTGAGACTGGCTATATTCTTTAAAACTTCGGTTGGCTTATCTTCTTGTAATGCCGTGTAGGACGCATCGCAATTTAGGAAAATAATTTTATATACTACGTGTGACTGTGAATTCATTTGTATTGAATCCTTTCACGAAGAAATGATCGAGGTAGAATAAGGCGATGTGTCAATGGCTCTAATGTTTTATCTTTTTTCTTGATTGTATGCGGTACGTTAATAGACACTTTGTTAATTGTTTGATGGATCATTATTCTTGTGGTTTTCATTTGTTTTTAATCAGCTTGTGGCCGGTCCTTGTTGATGATATCTAGTTAAAGTTTTTCTAATTTGTAACTATACGAACTCAGTTGAATATTCCTTTTTGGATACTAATTGTTGTATAAACCAAAAGTCATCGTGCATCAAACGATACGAAGAACAAATTTTAACGGTTTACTATATCGTATTACTGTTAACTCTAGCTTTGCATGATCTTGGGTTCAAGGAACTCCAATTAGTTAAAAGATCTGTGAAAATTTCCGTTTCGATAACTGATAGTAGAGAAAAGTTTGTCTATCATCTCGAGTACGTGTGATAAAAATATCTTGAAAGGATAGTAATCTATTAGATTCCTCTTCAAATGCGACTTTAATTTCATTATCAATACTGTTCAGAATCTTCAAAATTGGGCTTAGATCTGAATCATTTCTCCCCCTATCAATGTGAAGTATCATTATCAAAGCATTTAGGCATGAGGACACCATGATCTGTTTAATTATTTCATAACTTTATTTTTAACATAGTTCGTATATATAAAATATCAACCAGTTGGAGTTCTAAAAGACCACCCCCCCTCCTGTAACGCCTTGATGAGGGTCATAGACGCAACTAATAATAATGCCAGGTGCCACAGTATTGGTTATGGCAGAATGACAACAATGAAAATTAAATAGTATTGAATATTGGATGAAGATCCAATTGCTTATTCAATGAACAGAAATAGTTGAGAATAAGAAGAACTCCACAAGCAAATAGCTGACACGAGTTCGAGCGATTGTAGGGGGCAATCGAGTTAGATTGATTGTAAAGAACAATGAAGTTGAAAAGAAAAAGGTAATATGTAATTGATCAAAAAGATGATTTGTTTTTGATAGAGAAGAAGAGTAGTAGTCAGAGAAGAAAAAGAAGAATTAGTATATCTCAGTGAAGAGAGATATATCAAGAAGCTTCTAAGAAACTTGAAGAGAAAAAAAGAGTAATTATATATCTCATTTTTCTGAGTCTAAGCGTGAAAAAGGTGCCAATGTTGAAAATAACAACCGCGACAATAAGCAACAAGAGAGAACAACATAGAGGAGAAACAACCATACATGATATAACAAACATCAAGACAATATCAGTGACGTTGCTGTCGTCACATGGGGGTTTGGGGTGTGGGTATTCTTATTAACGACACCCATATCAACTACCTTGAGGGTGTGGGTGTCGTTAATAAGAATAGCCACACCCATACACCCTCCAAAGTGCCAACTCGATTCTGAGAGAGGGGGGAACATCATATCGAGAAACTGACTATGATTTTATGTCATTCGAGTAAAACGTTGACGTGCTCGTTGGCATTATTAAACTGTTCTACTAATAAGCCGGACGCTGTCGATAAATCATTGTTACCAACCAAGAGCCTTCTCAAAGGACATTTCGTATCGGTTTGTAATGAATTTAACAGTAACTTTAAGGCATCGTCATTGATACGATTATGTTCAAGATTGAGTTCCAGCAGTGTATTGTTTAATGCTAACATATCAGCGAGTGTACTGGCACCGCGTTGATCAATAGTATTTGAGCTGAGATTTAGATGGGTTATAACGGAATTCGTTGGATATTTAAATGCTTTAGCTAAACGACGCAATTGTCTATTCGTAATACCGACACCGCTAAGATCAACAGTCTGAAGATGGTCATTTTTTCGCAGTGAGTCAGCTAAAATATAAAACTCTTCGTCTGAATGGAAAGCACTATAGCTAAGGTCAATACTAGTCAGAACACTTTGCTCAAGATACCGAAGGATTTTACTGAATCCATCTGTAGAGAATTGACCAGCTCGAATCGAAATACTTTTTAGAACTGAGTTGTCATGGAACATAGTTAACATAGATTCGACTGCATTATCAGAGATTTTGTTATCACCAATGAACAGATGTTGCAGTGTCAGGTTTTCCAATAAAGCTTCGAAAATGCCAATAATTCCCTTATTTCCGAACTCATTCGAGGTCAAATTCAACGTAATCAGCGTGGAATTATTTGATAGGCCTTCAGCAATACCAAGAATAGCAGAATCAGCGAAACTGTTGAGCGATAGATCGATGTCTCGAATAGAATGGTTGTTGATGAGAAAATTCTTAACATCTGCTTTAGAACCTAGACGCTTGATTTCATTGTGAGATAAATTTAGAATCTTGAGACTTTGATTCTTGGATAGAGCGTTTGTTATAGCTGCGGCGCCTTCGCTGTAAACTGTGTTATTTGACAAATTTAATGCTTGTAAAGCAGCATTAACTAAAAGACATTCAGCAAAGGCTTGAGCGCCTGAAATTCCTATACGATTATAACTTAAATTGAGAGATTCCAAAGTTAAGTTGTTCTTTATTGCCTCAGCAATGTAAAAAGCGCCATTGTCTCCTATTCTATTTAATTCCAGACTTAAGCATTTTAAAACTTTACTTAACCGCAAGAGAGTCAGTAGTGGTGTCACACCAAAATCACCAAGTTCATTTCTGCTTAGGCATAAATCAGTTATTGACGTGTTGCGAATGACATTACGCGCTAACAGATCTATGCCATTATGTTTTAGTCTATTTTGGGTCAGGACCAACTGCCGTACGTGCGCATTCTTGCCTAAAGCAGTGGCCAGAGAATTTAAAACTTTTGTACTTATTGAACCACTAATTGAAAAGTGCTTGTCAGATTTTATTACTGCTGCTTCTACGCCAATTATCTTTAGAAAAAAATTTACAGAAATTCTTGCGTTAAAGTCAGGCATGAGCGTGCGAATTGCCAACTCGACAGTAGCTTCATCTAATCGCTCTGTATAGTTCCTGCTGATGCTCAGCGTCACCGTCATCAATGACTTATGTATTGAACTGCATTCTAATTTTTGTACGATACTCGCTGGCGATCGGTCTCCCATCCATGAATCGACTGAAAGACTGACGAACTCCAAGTCTCTCAAGAATGATTGTGTTTGAAATGAAGAAAGTAAAAACTCCAAATCGCTATCATTGACTCGGCAATCATGTAATGTCAGTTTATATATATTGGATCCTCGACGAAACATAGTGATCAGCTGACGAATTTCTGTGCTTGTCACTTTTTCCTTAACTATCGCTTCACCCATTTGTTTGTTTATATGTCCCCATCTCTTTGTCTCAAACTCACGGACGAACGCTTTCGCTTCTTTCGTGCAAAATTGATTATCATAGTGATATTTGCATAGCCATTTCACTGCTCCATCAGACTTTACTACTCGATATAATCTTCCTAGAGTTTGCTCCGTATCATAGCGACCGAGAAACTGTTTGATTCCTCTCAATTCCACGGAATCTGACGGGTGAGTTTGTCCAAAGGAAGCAAGATCGGTTTTCTTAAGAGAAATATGTTCGAGAAAGTTTGCCATGATGTTCATATTTTTGACGAAGGAATTCCAGAAGTTTTGATCCGTCAAAAATGTAGGTATATCGACGTTGTTAATTGAAGCGAGGACTGGAAAGAAGAAACCTCCGCCGATCGAAATCGCATATTGAATGACTTTCATAGTTCTTGCAATATGTGAACCATAGCGTCGAAAAAACGTTTTCGGTTCTTCGATTATATACCCTTCGTGCAAGGCACAATGAATGTTGTCACATTCACATAGAAAGAAGAGTCGATAAGTGTTCTTAAACATACGTGACGGATTCCAAGATGATCCTCGCTCAGGTAATACGATGAATAAACGAGGTACCGTATACTCAGCTAGTTCATAGATTTCTAGGAAAATAGCGTCAAGTTTTGCCTCAATTCGTTTTTCACTCAAGAGAATAAGATCTTGCTTATCTAACATCTGCTTTATTTGTTCTTGGATCTGCATAATGGCGAATAACATTTTTTTCTCGCAATCATCAGATCGTTTTTCAATAACGGCTATAAAAGTTTCATCAACATTTGCTCTCGTTCGCTGAGGATTCTTTATCGAAAGATCTTCATTACGTTCGAGCGGAAGTTGAACACCTTCTTCATTCCTCAACACTATCACGTAGTTATAGCCAAATGAACGATTGATTTCATCGAAAAGAATGCATGGAATTCCATCGTGCGCTATGACAGGAATTTTATAAATCTCACCTTCAATTTCAATACGCTGATAAGCCATGGCTGACATTAAGGTGCGATTCAATACGCCGTAGAAAACGAATTCTGTGTGAGTTTTAGTGGCTTTTCTTGATTCCTCTGTCACTTGAACACAATTTTGCTAATTTTGAGGCACATTTTATATTTGAAAATATGATCCTATGTGCAGTTTCTGTTATTTAATGCCACGTTTTTGTTTAATCTATATATTTCTGTCAGAAATGAATTAAATTTGACCTTTATCGATAATTTTCAAATGTTATTGTAAAAGTGAAAGGAGCAAGTATGTTTTAACTGTTTTGATTGACAACTCAAAACTAAAAGGAAAATGAGATGATAAGCAACTACGACATAGTACACAGGTAAATGTAAAAAGATACAGAGTGAATGGTAGAAAGTAGCGAACAAGATAATATATAGAGAACATTAACAATGTGCAGACAATTGTGCTTCCATATCTTTAGGAGTTGAAAACGAAAATAAGCTTCATTAGAACCCGTTTTAAATCTAGTAAAGGATACAACTCAGAAGTAGAGATGGCTTATAACTACAATTTTGAATCTTATAAGGAAAGGATTGAGTACAAGTTGTCTCAAGTCCACCGAATACCAAAAAAATGAATAAATTTTACTAGAACGTTACGATTGTTCTTTACTCTTTCACACACGTTTCTCATTTTTTCATCGGTAAGAGAATCTAAAATTGCTTCTACCAATTCTTGTATTCCACAGGGAAGCTTTCGAACTTTTAGATCCTCATCGACATATTCAACACTATTGACTTTAGTACATAGGCCGACGTCACCGAAAAAAGTAATATCTTTGTACATTCCACTACCCGGAACAGGCTTTTTATTGCATTCTACGCTAACGCTGGCCACTGTGTTTTTAAAATCTTCTATCACTTTATCTCGGTCTTTGTGTGACCACATGTTTGTACAGATGAGAGCAAAAAATATATTCTCTTTAATGCACTGCTGCAATATTTCTTTCAATTGTGGTAGGCAGGCGTACGTACCAGGAGCGGCACAAAACAAAAGGCATATAGGGGAAGCTCTTTTAACTATCTTATTAACATAGAGTCTAATGTCTTGTGGTGACCAATTCTCAAAGCCTTTAGTGTCCCAAAAGTTGATCTTATACTGTTCTCCTCCACAGTACCCGACATCCGCATAGCACACTGTTTCACGCGTAACACTATCAAGGCTGTCATCTGTCGCAGCCAATGTACTTCGACACATTGCATTGATAAGGGTCGATTTTCCAACACGAGCCCTTCCACATAACAAGAAGTCGTATTCGGCTAGACGCTTGTCGATGTATGCCTTGATATTTTCCCGGTCTTCACGATTTTGCAAGGCATTTTGCTTTTTGACCAAAATGGCTTCTCCGAGGCCAAGGTATGACATTTTATCAGATAAGTTTTCGTCATCTTCTTCAGAATCTGTAAATTGAAATATTTAATTGGCATTTGAGGGTAAGTAATAACTTTCTGTACCTTGCTCATAAGGATCTTTAGGCCTGGACATGTTCAAAGTTGTTGACAGTATTCGAAGAAAGAATAATGTAGTTTATTAGATTTCAATCGTAGTTATTCTAGAATTTAAACGTTTTTAGTACATAATCTGGCTTACATAGCATTCAGACTCCACGAAGGCAGCGTTTTAATTTAAAAAGAAAAATATTTTTAACAATGGTACGTTGCAAAAGTAGCTATCCCTAATATTAATACGCAATTAGTAACAGTGTCTTTTCGTATGCATTTCGATGCAGCTGTAAAATATCATCCACAGCTTGTTTCATTTTCGAAGGTAACTCTGACAAAAAGGAATATAGAGTGTGATTAATGGCAGCCACATGTTCGGATCGCGAGTTAACTAGACATCTATTGATCAAACACAAAGCAACAACCAATTCGCTTTGATATTGTGTTCGAAAGATTGGTTTATTTTGAAGATAAGCCAAATAGTGCAAGTTGTTTTTCTTTATATAAATGCCGTCATGTGCCTCCTGCGTCTATTTGAAAGTATAGATTCAGATAATATATGGAAAGCAATATAAATATCAAACTACTGGAATCCACCTTTAACTGGGGCTGATCTGAATCGGACAAAGGGTTTTATCTAGAGATGTTAAATCTTTCAGTCATTTGTTTGATTCCGACGATCAGGCCTCGACTAGAACTTAACTTACCATTTGATACAGCCAAGAAATCTCCATTTCATAATCTCGCTTTGCCAATCGTCTTTCGACGATAGCTAAAAGCAATTCCCAACATGAAAAAAGAGATGTTCCTCGCATTGCTATTTGATAAAGTAACTAAAATGCGTTTATTCATTGCGTTTTAAATGATGAAAAGCACATTAACTTACAAATTGCCAGCATAGAATATGCTTATTCTTCTCAAAAACTTCTATAATGTTACCACCTTGTTGATATTCATTCCATTGCTCAGCAAGATGTGGAAAAAATTCGTCGTTGTCCATAGCTTCTCGTTCTAAACGAATCTTCTCAAGGTCATCGACAGGCCCCAAATTCAAAAACACGCGATGATTTTGCCGGTTCGTAAACATTTTAATAGTAACGGATTCTGATACCCCATCTTCACAAGAATCATAATGTTTTGAAAAAAATTCTTTAAATTGTTTTTTCAGGCTTGTAATAGCGTCTATTGTTGCTTGTTTTGGCTTAAAGATGCATATTATCGGCACTTAGTATACAGATTCGAAAATGACTTACGCTACGAATTGATATAGGTGGGATCTGCTTCAATCGACACTCGAAGAATTTCTGTAGATCTTGAAAAGTGGGGCGTTCGCCTGGTCTAATAGACATACAAAGCGAGATTTGGTCCCAAATGTCATCTTCACATGCGTCAGGTAGAGACAGTTTGCTATCCGATAAAATCACATCCCGTACACGATTTTCATTTCGATAAAGTACCCATGGTTCCTGGCCACGCGAGTATGCTTGCCACATAAGAATCCCCATTGAGTAAACGTTTGATGCTTCTACATAAGAATTACTATCTGTTGCACTAACTGAGTCAAGAAGTAATTCTGGAGCTATATAGCGATTACTGCATTCTGAGCAAGTGAATAAATGAATTTCAAAATCCATCGACTCAACTTTATTCGTGTTGTTTGACCACTTCAGTTGCACATTATGACAATTCAGCTGACCGTTCAACTTTCTCGCTTTCAAAGACGGTTCATTGGCCATCTTTTGACAGATATTATGAAATAGATGGAACAACATTCTTGGAGTAGGTAATGTTAATCGACTTTGTAGATAGCCATAAAGAGTCTCAGAAAAGGAATAAGTACTGTTTAAAACTTTTAAATGTGGCTCGTCAGAGTTTCGTGCATCTTCATGTTTAGTGTATCTCAACAAGTTCTCTGCTGATCCACTCGCTTCTGAAATATTTACGATATTCGATTCAAATTTAATAATGAAATTATCCCTCGGCTTACTTCTACTGTATCCTAAAGGCTGGTTCGAGGATTGGAATTTTTGACCTTTTCCAAAATTTCGATCGTCACACTTCCCCATCACGCCACTTATTGGGTCTTGATTTGAAGCACATAATAAGTTGCCTCGTGATGAATCAAATCGTGAGCCAGAACCGTTGGAAGTAGTTTCGGGAGACTTTATTGTACGTATCTTAGTAACAGCCACAGTTTTATCGTTTTTTCGCATCAACACCCATTGACTAAAGTTCCGCTTTTGTGACGTGCGTGAGATTTCTTCGAGTAGTTCATCAACACCTGCGACTTCTTTTTCACATTTTAATAATGTATCCTCATATTTACTACTATTCACGCGTGCAACCAAGCCCTTATGAAAATTAACAACAAAAGTCTTTCGCCAGTCAACACTTTCTGATAATTGAATTCTACTGTGATCATTCATCATTTTCTCAAAAGTCTTTAGGATCCGAAGACGGTTGTTACCACCCCACATATTAGTGCAAACAAGACAGGGGAGAACCACTTCATCGATGCACAATTGTACAAAATCTGCCAGCTGCTTTTCACATGCATATGATCCAGGAGAAGCGCAAAAGATCCAGCAGATTGGTTTAAGTGAGGCCAATAGATCCCGGTAATGACTTTTGTCTGTTTGGTCAAGAGGTCCATTCTTTAGATATGGTATTTCACAAAATTTGATGTCGGTTTTGCAGGCTGTAGTATGATCATCATTTTGTGGAGATATATATATTTGCATGTTTATGTTTGGACTAATAGAGCAGTCCGACAAAGTTGCAACCATCGTCTTACAGAATGCGTTAATTAGGGAGCTTTTGCCGACATGTGGGCCACCTGACACAAAAACTGTTGATTGATTGAAATTTTTTTGTTCAGATGGTGGAACGTGAGCCGATGAATATCTGAAATCAAGAGTTCGCTTCATATCATTACAAGGTATCTCGAGGGTGTGGTGTGGGTGTGGGTGTGGGTATGAAGATACAGGTGACTTATGTTTTGACCCATCTAATTCCTGCAACTCCGTTCATCACTTCTAACATAATTCTGGAATTCCCCGATTCGCTACTCATCAATTCCTACACTGTAAAAAAAAAGAGTAGAATAATAAACCCTTGTCCTTTCTACAAATCATGCTAAACCCTTGAAGGGTTTATGACAACGCCATAAACCCTTAAAGGGTTTATGAAACGAAGGGTA